AGAAAAGCAGTGCCGGATGAACTGATAACGAAGTCTGGCCGGGATGGGAAGTTGACGCGCGAGAAAATCCGTATAGATTGCCGGAGTGGAACGTCGAGTTCGCCTCGATTGCCAAAACGCGTGGAAAAGGGAGAGAGCGAGAGAGGTTGGCGCTGAAGGCAAGCCTCGTAAATCAATGCTCCGTCGGCATAGCTACTTGCGTTATCGTCTTGGAAACGAGCGAGTAAAACGCACGCTGCCTACGCCAGCTATCCCTCGTTTGGACGAGTTTTACGCGCGACTCGCGCTCCTCTCCGCCGACCGCGCTGCCTCATCAGCGCGTCGCCTCTGCTGTTTGCAGAGTCAACATCGTAGCTACGCTTTACAAGCTTCCGTCGGCCGTTAGCCTTTGTTCCGAGCTGACCTTCGGCAATCGCGGAGAGCCGGCGTGCAAGCGTTTCGTAAGCTTCCAATCGTCGAACGGAGTAACGTGGGATGCGCGAGGATCGCGATGTCGAGAGGAGTGAACGGGCAGGCGTTGTTGTTCCTTCTGGCAGTCCGTTGAAATAACGGACGTGGAATTGAAAGGAAAAAAGTTGGACGCATGCGGGATGCATATCGAGACTAAGGGCAGGCACTTTGCGCGTGAACGATGATCGGCTAGTGCACTTGCTGCCTCGTCACAGCATACGGGTTATACAGTTGGAGAATCCGCTTCTCCGTTCGAGAGAGAGAGAGAGAGAGAGAGAGAGAGAGAGCGGCTTTTGTTTCCTGGCTTTTTATGTTCGGAGCGCGATTGTCGGGTACACACAGGCCGTCGCGTCGAAAGCCAATCGTAAGAGCATCCGCCGCTTCTGGGCTACACGCCCTTCATCCGATAATCAAGTAGCCGCGCTCGTCGCTCCGTATCTGCCAGCCGCTCTTCAAACCTCCGCCCGTACGTCGACTCGTTCTCTCGGGCTCGAGAATCCTTTGACGTTTGGAACGGTCGCGCAATAACTCGTCACTCGAGGACGCAGCGACAACGTCCAGACGGATAATCCGTTCTCTCGCGCTTCGCACGCGCGTACGTGCCGCGCCATCGTAAATCCCGACGTCCTGTCCGAGCACGCCCGCGATACGCTCTCCGGCGTTTCCCTCGCTCGGTGCGCGCCAAACCTCGTTGCTCGAGAGCGTGGATGAAAACGGGAGCGGCCTCGCGCGGAACTGCCATCGACCGCGCGAGGCTCCTCGGCCGGGCCGTTACGCGCCGAGCAGCTGCCCACGCGCCGGCTCTTATCTCCGCGGGCGCGTGCACGCCCGACGCAGCGCTGCAGCAGCATTGATTTCCTTCCGCGCGGTCGGCTTTCCGCAACGAGCTCTCGGAATCGGATCGGAGCCGACGATCGCCCGACAGCCAGGCCGTTCGCTGGAAATTCGGAGGCGGGCTCGCCGGAAAAACGACTAGCTGTCCCCTTGACACGGTTGCGTGGGCGCCGCGGGGAGGGCGCGCCCACTGATTGGCACTGGCTCCAATGTCAAGGCGCAATCGATAACTCGAGTGGCAATGGTATGCAAGCCTAATGAACTTTCCGCCGCGGCGAGGCGTCTTTGTGCGCGCGCGCGCGCCACGTGCTCCCCTCCGCCTCGGATCCGCCGTTGCCGCGCGCGAGAGGGAAGAGGCGAGAGCATCCGCTGCACCTCGCCGCGTCCGGTGAGTCTGACCGAGTTCGAACGAGATCCCGCTGATCGGCACGCGCTGCTCGGCGCCGCGAACGCCTCGGTATACCAGGCAGCTGGCGCGCGCGCAACGATTTCGGCGGCAGCCTTCGTCGGCGCAGGAAGGAGCAAGGCAGGCTCCGATTGATCGCGACGCGCCAACCAGGCGAGGCGTTACCCCGTGGCAATGGGGGCGCTTGTTCTCGCGCACCAGCCGAGCGAAGGTCGAGAGCCCGAAGGGCCGAGCGCTCGATGCGCATTGGCCGTCGAAATCGTCGAACGAGCGACTCGCCGTTATCCGGCGGGGGATCGGCCGATTCAGTCGCAGCTCGCGCGGAGCACCGGCAGCTCGCTCGCAGCTCTCGTCGTCTCCCGCTCCTGACGATGCCAGACGCGTGGCTCTCCCCCTCTTTCTCTCCCCGAGTCTCGCCAACTCGCCACGAACAATCAACAATTCCTATCGACGATCGAACGATGCGCCCGGCCGCAACTTAGCTTTCCCTTCGCGTCCATGCCGTCTCGCGCGTTCCACAATTTCGGTGTCTGGTTATATTGTATCGGCCGTGGAGCTTCGGGCATGACTCCACTCGATTGCCATTCCTGCTAATCAAATTTTACGCTCTATCTTTTCGCAATGTTACCATTGGCTTTTTCAGCGTTTCCCGAGCGTTTTGAAAGGAGCAACAAATCGATCCGAGCTCCGATTTGCAAGTATCAGATATAGGATAACGAGAATTGAGAAACGATCGGCAGAAGGGAGCGATAAACTTGGTCGCTTGGCCCGCTTACTTCGACGCGCCGCGTCTATACGCAATCACGATTCCACGTCGGTCCACGAGAGTCTTGAAAAAACAAACAGCGGAGATGCGTATAAGAAAGGCGCGCGGGCAGACACAATTCAGAAGCGAATCGTCTCCCCATTTTCTTCTTTGCGTAGCTGCCGCTCGGACGCGTCGTGTACTGCATTTGTGCGCGACAGAGCTGGCGTAAGCGTCGTTCCTGTTCCTCGCGGCGAGACGGGAAAAAAAAAGGCAAACTGTCCACGCACGAGACGCTTTTTTTTTCGGTCCGCCTTGTTTCGCCAGCGTTGACAATGTCGCGCGTTATTGCTCGCACTGACGGGCTTAAGTTGCGGATTACTTTGCGACAACCGACGTGACGCCTCTCTCGGCCAACCTACTCCCGAATAGAGTTCTGATTACCTTTTTTCTTTGTTTTGCTGACCTATTTAGCCGCAAACTTAATTTCGAGCAGTCCAACCAAACGGACCTCAGTCTGTCTTTCTTCACCCGTTTACGATGGTTTAATTTCTTTAATTTAGGCGAACTTTGACGTCGGCCGCGAACTTCGTTCCAATTCTTTTGCCCGCTCGTCGTATTACGTCGCTATATACTTTTCAACGCCGCCCACTCGAGCCACTGATTACGAAAATACAGCGCGGAATAATTATAGGAAAATCTTGCGATTGCGAATCGAAATGAAATTGTTAAATTGGTCGATCTACCACTACGCGCTCGCAGTCAGCGACGAGGAAACGCTGAAAAATGTGGCGTCTGGCAGAGTCGTGGGAAAGGCGAAAGGGCGAGTGCAGTCGAGCGAGATATCGACTCGCGTGGCTAACGAATGGAAAAACGTTTTGGTGTTCACAGCCGAGCGGGAAGCATCTTGGAGGTCGCGATCGGATGTCCGCGGCCAGGCACGGGGATCCAAGTGCGGCTCAACTCTGGGCTGGATGATGAGGATGCGAGCTGGCGGCAGCTCGGCGAGTGTCGCGGAGGGTGTCGCAGGCAGGTCGAAGGTGTCCACGACGACCACGAGTGAGCCGACTGCAACGTGGACCAGGCGCAGATGAGAGAATCAGCAACGGCATGAACAGCTCGTACTTGCTCGGCGAGGACGAGGAGTGGGGTCGGCGATACTACTTTACCTACTACAGCGAGTTCGGCGACAGAAGAGGAGCCAGCGGACTAGAGGTCAGTCGTCTCGAACCAGTTGATTCCGTCTTGGCGTCTTCTAGAGCCCGATATTGCTGTCATCGAGGCGTTCTCGTCAGCCGCACGTGTCGCCCATAGTCCAACCCATCTTCCACTTGCCACTCTTTCCTTCTTCCTCCTCGAGCTCGTCTCTTGATGAACTTAAGAACTCGCTCGTTCTTATTGGTAATCGATCGATCAACTGACAGCTTATGCAACAACCGGCATCGAGACTTTAAAAGTACCAAACAGTCGCGTTTCTGTCATTTTCTCAGAAGACATCTTCAGAGGAACTGTTTGAACAATGCTCGCTGAGGTGCGACTGTTGGCCCTTGACAGTCGATCGAATTGATGTTCAGGAGAGCCAATCATCGAGGTCCTTGTTCGACTGTTGGCGCTCGCCGCGAGAGTACATCGCGGAAATATGAAGCGGAACGCTCCAGGCGGAGAGCCAGACAGATGGCAAAACGACGGAGCAGTACGTCGGCGCGCGCGTATACGCCCTCGACTGCCGCCCTGCCGTTCGACGCGCGCGCCCAATTGATTCCCCCTGTAAGCTCAGCTTGGCCGGCAGCGCACTTCTCATCGCTCGCGGGCGCTCGCCCTCCTATACCCTCCTTCTCGCTGCCGCGGCTTCTTCGCGCGCGCGGTGCCGCTGGTCGAGAACGCCAAGGCGACGCGAGTGGCTGTGCGAGGTGAGCACGAGTAAGTTGTGGCATCGCTCGATTTTAATCAAGCTTCGGATCCAGGCTTCCGACGACGGGCGTGCCGCGCGGCTGTGGGCTGCCCACGCAACCCGGAGTTGGCTTTCGGCTGCGGCCCCCTCCCCCCGCCCGCCAACCCGGCGTCCGCCGTTTTCGCCGTACTTCCGACTCCTCCGGGCTCTGCGCGCAGTCGAGATAATTGCAGCCGACGATCGGCCTTTGTCGGCTCGACTTCAATCCGCAATACTTGCCAACGAGCCCGAGCGTCTCGCTCGTTGCCACGACGTTAGTCGCCGTTATTCGTTCTGCCTCTCCCGCCGCAAACGTCAATTGCTTACGAGTCGGACGGAACCGCTTGTTCGTTTGTTTATCTGCGTTCTCGTGTCGTATTATTCACACATACTCTAGCATGAAACCCCACCATCTGTATCTGAGAAGTCACCTGTCTGACGTAAATGTCTATATTCGAGTGCAAGAGAGTTAAATGCATTCAGTGGAAAGGTTTCGATCTGATGCTGATAGAGATGTTTATCGCACTCTCGACTTTCATATGATTTGTTCGACCCTGAAATGATGTGCAGTTGCGATTATTACTACGATTATTATTCGTCTGTTATTCGATACTAAAGAGTCAAAGTACACGTAGTTGGGAGAACGTATTATTTATTTTTAACATTGGATTGTAAATAACAACTTGTTTATCTTCGATTGGGAATGAAATTTGCGTTCCCTCGTAGTTCCCCAATGCTATTGCGAGAAATGCAAAAGCGACTTAGACGAAATAGGGGGGTTTTCTCACAACGACCCCGCGGTCTTCTATAGAAGAAATCAAATCCTCCATAACTAGTGTGTTATGCTGCTCGTCCTTGCCTCTAAATTTGTTGGACTGGGGTGCTCCCCTCATCTTGTAATGCTGCATAGCGTCTTTCGCCACTACAGATATGAATGTCTGAGCAGCCACGGCTATCAGCTTTGTCCTGGAAATAATGTCACGACAGGGCTCGTATTCAATAGTGAAGTGTCGCCGAATTATGATGTAACGTAGCATTGCATGCTCAGGGCAAAGTGGAGCACGACGGGCCACCACCTGTGTGCACAAACGAATGCTTCTCGATAGATCCTGCGACCAGGCAAATGCCTGTTGACATTGCCAATTACAGAGGGCATCGCGAACAATCTCAGCTCGTTCAATTCCGACGCCAAGAAGGAACTGGCCAAGCGGTTAATATTTGCCGAGAGCTAAGTTCATGAAAATAAATAAGCACTCTTACGAAGAAATCAATATGCAACGAAGGTCAGAGGGCGTACGTTATGCCGCGGAGGATAGAGAGGATCGAGCGGCCAATTGTCCTTGCACAGCTCTCTATCCTCCATATTTGATGCATATTAATCCACGCCATTTCCAGCAGACGGCTATCAGTGTGGCGAGTGCTGAAAAACGAATGCTCGGCCCCTCGCGGCGAAAATCCGACTTTCTTTGGCCTTCGGCTTACTTACACTTTGGGGTCGGTCGTGAGGCAGCCGGAAACTTGCATCAGCTTTTCGGCGACAGCGTCCGGAACCGTTGGCTCGAAGTTCTCCTTGTCCATCAAATCCAACACGTCGAATAGCGGAGTGGCCGCGTTCGTCGAATCGGCTTGTTCGGGTCCGTCGACGGACCCGTCCTGATTTTCGCTGTTGCTTTCCATAGCTCGACGGTGGCAAGCGGGCGCTCGCTCTGTTTGTCAATACTGGTCAATGACGAGTGTCGTCGTTCCTGCCTGGAGCGTAACTGAGGGCTGGCCGGTGTACGCCGCTTCTCTGCCAATTCCAATCTCGAACTCGATGCTAATCCGACCTTTTCAAAACAACCCGACAGGGCGTGCTTTATTGCCGCTCGGGCGGACTCTACTTCCGGCGGCGCTATTCAATCTACAGGCTGCTCTTCGAACAGCCGCTGAGTCTCCGTTCGTCGAGATTTACAAGTTATCCCGCGTTTAGAAGGACAATCGCCAAACGACGCATTCGAGTGGAATTTGGAATTGTCATTATCAAACCTCGATCGATAAACAATTATAATAAACAGTTAAAGTGTAGGATGGCGCTTCGATATTTTTCAGTTTTCCCTTTCGCAAAAATCTTTCGACGTTAAACAATGAAAATTATAAGTTTTCTAAGCTGGGAACAGTACATTAGCCATAACTAGTGGGGAAAAGTACTATGCTCTTGTAGTCTCGTGCGAGGTGTACGTCCGAGCAATACGAAACTCAAACGGCACGCGAGACTCCCCCGACCATGTTAGCTACGGCATTTTTTGTAACAACGCGCGGAAAGCGCGAATTCGAGCGTATTCAGTTGACGTATTTAGTTGAAAAATAAAATCCTTCGCTTTATCTGGAGTACTGGTCTAAAGGAAGAAAATGAGCTTTTTCAAAATAATTTGATGTGATCATTTGATAGATTTTGTAACTTAAAAAGAAGGAAATGTAAGCATTTATCACGGAATACTTCAGGATCAAAAAAATGTTGACGGTGATAACATTATTGAAACGACTTTTAATTTTTATCCTTAAACTCGGCATTCTAAGAAATATCATTTATTATTACTATTGATATTTCATTTATTTATGAGACGTTCGATGGATCCTGTGAATAGCGTTACTGTTTCGCACTTGTCTAGTTCTTATAAAGTAATGTAACAAAAATTAGGTCGCTATGTCCCATAAGAATATAAATTCACCAAGGTGTAGTTTTTCTGAGAACCTGAACTCAAACGTATAGTACTGTCAAAACTGTGTATTTTATATTGTATGTAAAAAAATATTGTGTTGCACAGCAATTTTACGAATAAAAAGTGCTTTAGATGACTACTTGAAAAATGGCATCGTTAAGTTCAGAATTCCACGGGTGTTGAGTGAAAGTATTAAAATTACAAAACAGTTGAGTTAAAAACAATGAATACGGGCTTATTTGTATTAGCGTCACTGCGTTTGGTATCATCTAGCTGTTTTGACGAACAGTGTGACTCTTTATCCATTGTTTTTGAAAAGTTTGATAAAGTATCACATATCGTCATATTTACAAGTAGTTAATCTACAATGACAGTGATTATGGGACATTTGAAATCTGCTTGAGGCAGATAATTTATAGCCATCTATTCACGGTGCTATTCACAGTGACGTTTATGGGAAACTTGGATAATGTAGATTTGGCTCCCAACATAGAATCGATAAAATATGTGAGTCAGAAAGAAAACTTGTTTAACGTATCTTGTTAGGCTTCGAAAGTATGCTCCATAGATGCTAAACAAATTAGTTTAGCCGATATCATTACAATTTTATCCCAAGAGTTTGAACATGCACGAATGCAGTCGATAATAATTGCTAATATTAAATAAGCTCGGGGATTTTGAATAGCGTTGCTCGATTATTTTTGCTTTAACAATATAAAATACATGTAGTTATTCTTTCCGGTATGTCTTTTAGTTGATTAAAATTAGTAAAATGCATTGAATTAATTGAACGTCCAAGGAATTTTCGTCTCATCGTAAATTAGTCGTAGCACCAGAGAAGTGCGTAACACGATTCGATTGCTTTCGATTGCTTTCGATTGCTTGCCACATCTAACGGTGCAATGCTAATAACTGCCACCGGAGACAGTAACGAATAATTATGAGTTGTAATGATGCTTCAGACTTTTCAAAATGTAGGACAAAAAATATAATTCTACAATGAAATTTTTTATTGCACAATGTACACAGTTTTAAAGTGAAATTGTTGAAAAAGTTGAAAATGTTGTTGACATTCAAGCTGGAGCTGAATTCAGCATTTGAATACAATTTTTGCAATGTTAAAATAAAGCTAATTACAAACATAAAGGATGTTGATCGACACCTCTTGAGAGTATTTGTTTATTAGTCATAGATTGTCATTGTTCCGGTTGAGAAGCGCGTGATTGAAATTTCATCGCATTGGCCAAACCGCAAAACGAAATGGCAAAGAGCAAGAAACACAGTGATATAATTGTAGTTATGTATTTGCGGTGGCGCACATTCGTTGCGTCGTTCTTGACTTTTCGTAACGACGAATTCACTTTTTCCACGGACGATCTCTTTTATAACGCGCTAACGGGCTTAACCATGATTAGACAGAAGCAAGCTGGGTGCGTGGAAAAAAAAACGTAGTCCCTCGACTCGGTTCTTTCGATATCGCATAAATGTTTGTTGACAACATGAAATTCGAAGCTGAAACGGTCTTTCCGAAAACGGAAGCCAAATGCATGCAGACCGGCGAACGAACGAGAGTCCGCAAGGTCGCCGCAGTACGCGAGACAACGCGAGGGAGTGTCTGGCTTCGAGCGAGACCGTCGGGCGCGCGGGGAAAGCCAGCGAAGAAAACACGGGTGCGCATGCTTGCAGGTGCTGGCGCTGGCGGTGAGCTTCGTGGTGTCGGTGCTGGCCAACCTGGGCATCGCGGCGTGCGTGCTGCGCTACCGCGAGATGCGCACGCCGACGAACCTGTGCCTGGTGAACCTGGCGGCGGCGGATCTGCTGTTCGCGCTGGGCGTGCCGGCGGCCGCCTACACGCGGCTCAGCCAGCAGTGGCGCCTGGGCGAGGCCGCCTGCCGGCTGCTGCCCTACTCGCAGTTCGTCTGCGGCTTCGTGCTGCTCTGGACGCTCAGCTTCATCTCCATGGACCGCCACCGGTGCCTGGCCGTGGCGCCGTACCGCAGCGCGCTCACCGGCGGCCGCGTGCTGGTCGCCTCGGCGCTCGCCTGGGCCATCGCGGCCTCGCTCTTCCTGCCGGCCGCCTTCTGGTTCCGGCTGAAGGTCTGTGCGCGCGCGCGCGCGCGCGCCACGGCCGCCCGAGCACGGCACGACTGCAGCGGCGCGTCTGTTCGCAGACGGTGGCCGACGGCCGGACCATCTGCACCCTGGTGTTCCCGCGCAGCGAGGCGCTCAACGTCTCGCTCTGCTTCACCCTGCCCGTCGTCGCGCTGGCCTGCCTGCTGCCCATGGGCCTGCTGGTCTACCACTACCAGCGCATCTTCCAGCGGATGCTCGACACGCGCCACCGCTGGGCCGTGCCCTGCGTCGCTCAGGTCAGCAGCAGCCGGCCTCCTCGGTCGCTGTGCAGCAGGCACTCGGTGAGCGCGGCGAAGCGCCGCGCCCCGGCCCGGCCCGCGCCGGCCAGCTCGAAGGCGAAGCTGGCGCACGGCTCGTCGCGGCCGCGCCGCGCCAGCGCGGGCCTGGGCTCCAGGCGGCGGCCGCGCGCGCACCGCGGCCCCTGGATGCGCAGCGGCCCGTCGAGCGCGCGGCCGCCCACGTCGAAGATCCACAGGTCGTAGGCGCAGCCGGCGTCGTCGCTCGACGACGTCAGCGCGTAGATCCGCTTGAAGTCCACCAGCGCGAGCTCGAAGTCGCGCAGCCGGTAGTGGAAGCGCAGCCCCAGCTGCCGCGCGTACGGCGGCTCCGCGCGGAAGATCGTGCAGTCGAGGCTGTACGACGGCTCGAGGTCGGCCAGCCAGCACAGGCTGCCGAAGTCGTCGTCGTGCATGGCCAGCCGCGCCACGTCGAGCAGGCCGCCCTCGCGGTTCTCGGCCCTGTGCAGCTCCTGGTCGGTTCGGTCAGTCGGCGGTCGGCCCGTCCTCGCCGGCCCAACAACTTACCCTGGCCCGGTTGCTCCGCGCCTTCAGCTCGTACAGCGCCCAGTCGCGCTCGCCCTTGTCCAGTAGGATTCGGCTCGAGTCCGCGCCCGCGGCCACGTCCATGGCGAGCTTGAGCTTGGACTTGCGCAGGCCCAGCAGGCACTGGGGCTCGCCGGCCGGCCGGCCGTCCTCGCGGTAGCTCGCTCTGACCCAGCCGCTGTCGCGGCAGGCCCGGTAGTCCACGTAGAAGACCTCCAGGTCGCGCGTCGTCGCCGGCGCGTCCAGCACTATTTTCCTCATTCCGTTGCCGGCGCTGCTTATCTCGATCGGGATCTCGCGAACCGAGCAGCTCGCCATGCCGATCACTTGCACCTTCCGGCTGGCTTTCTCGGCGGAACTCTGCGCCACGACTGCCTTCGTGGCCCAGTCGACGACGACGAATTCGGCGTGCTCTCCGTAGCTCCTCAACGTGGCCTGCTCCAGAGCCAGGCTGTCGTTGTCGGGCAAGCTGAAAGGGCACTTTTTGGGTCTGTAAGCTGGCGGGCAGTCGAAGCAATCCTGCCCGACTTCGCAGTCGCTCGTCGAGAGGTCGCACTTCGCGTAATTGAAATGAAAATGTTTCCGTAGCGCGTCGCTCTCTGGTGTGCTCACTATTACGGATACTCGATCTCTCGCGTTCGCTGGCACTCGGAAATTCAAATCTTTGGAAAAGTAATCCACGCTGGTGAAATCGCATCGAGCGACCCACTGCACGTGGAGTATGATCAATACTGATGAAATTACTCGCTTCGCAGCCATCTTTTTCGACTAAAGTCTCCTCGTCTGGATTTGACTCTGCAAACCGTGCGAGAGGCTAAGAAATTTCCATCTGCGTTGCGGCTCACCTCTTTCGTTTGGGCTAGCCATATAATATACTCACCATTGATTTTGAGCCGACGGCGTGCACGGAAAATCCCGATGCAATCGTCCACGTGCTGTCACGCAACCACGTCACAAGGTTACGACGAGTCAACAAATGCTAAGAATCCCACTGAAAAACCAATTGCCGACGCGTTATCAACGTGATTCGACCGTCGAACGATGAAAAAATAAGCGAGCAGCGGAACGAATTCACGATATGATTTGAGCAAACGGCTTCTCTTAGAGTCGAGAACTGTATCGCTGGCCTGGCTCTCATTGGCAAACTTGGACTTTTCTAGGTCAGAAGCGCACTGAGAATTGCAAAGTAGTCTCCGATCTTACTACGCTGCAGTTCCAAGAGGACGGCTGCGTTGTTGAGGAATATTATAATGCGAGCAACTTACGTGAATCGCGCGTTCGAGTTTGCTCGTTCTATCTGCAATCCAGTCGAAGTGTATCCGGCGAAAGGATTATCGACATTGGAAACGAGCCGCGCAACGGAGTTTCACTGTCGCCCGCTCGCGGTATTCGATCGACAGCGGCATATTCGAAAAGTGGTCGGCAGCGAGCTGTCCGCGAGGTCGACTGCCGCTTCGCGAGACAGCCGGGAGCTTCGGGCCGTTCGCTCGCTGCGCCGACGCCGCGTCGCGGAGGATCGCGAGCCGCTGGCAGCGCCCGTCGGCAGCGATTCGAGCGACGAGACGCGACGCAGGCTGCGCCTCGGGCACGCGGTCCGCGGGACAGCTCAGCGGCAGGAGGCGAGAGCCGACAGCGCGGCCAGCCGCTTCGCCGAGTGCGTCGCCGGAGACTGGCTGAACGGTGCGTGTGCGCTCGGCTGCCGACTCGGCGCCTTATTTGCCGTCGTCGCTCGGGCTTGCTGCCGCCGATCGCGATGACGTAAGTTTTCGCTTTCTCGGCCCGTTTTCAGCTCCGTCGCTCGCCGGAGCTTTCACTCGGCCGATTGATAGCGGCGCGCCTCGCTCGGCACAAGCCACCTCGCCGCCGCGTCGTTCAACGCATCCTCCGTCGTCACGGCTGCATTGTCTTCGGCCTGCTTTTTGTCGCGAGAAGCGGGCAGTGGCACCGATCGATCGATGCCTCCTCTGACTAACGAAAGCGCGTCCGGTTGCCTTTCGCCAGACCACCTGCACTCAGAGCTATTTTGCTAAGCAGTTAGCTTAAGCAGTCTCTCGTCGTTAGCGCGAGCGCGATACTCGATAGGTAAGCCCAGCTGTGGTCCATCTTGCGAAAGAGACTATGCGCTGCGCGTGACGGCATCGGGACTCGATCGAATCTAATAGCCGAGCCGGACTCGTGTTTGCCGTTCCAGCGATCGCAACACCTTCGACGATTGGATGCCGTGGCTAAAGTCGTTTTCTCTTTGTCAGACGTGAGCGCGCCGATGCTCGCTAAGTCGCGTCAATTTGCCTGCCGGCATTTCGTATTCGCGTCCAAGGAGAATTCCACTGACGAAGTTTTTTCGTTCTTATTTGTACACATTGGGCATGTCTAAGAGGATGCCAAAGCTGAATGTTAGTTCGACGGATGGAATGTGCGTCGACAGACAAACAGGCCAAGTCAAACAAGACTATCTCGGTTGTTACTTTGTCTCCTACAGTTTCAAAGCCTTCATTTGTCTTCGCGGTACAGGAATGCATTTTAGTTACACCCTATATCCAAGCTTGCGTCTCGCGCGCTCTCGTCCACAAATATGTAGTTATCCAGTTCGTATGGTGTACATATCAAAAAGTAGCATGAGTGTCGCGTCAATACTTTTACTTTTTTACATGTCGTAATTACATCATTTAGAGCTATTTAATATAACGTCAATGCACTTACGTATACAAATGTTAGGACTCAGTTTCTCGCACACGTTATTATAGATAAACTTATTTGGTTTCTGAATTTTCGCCAGTGTGTAACATCAGACTATTATAAGAAGATTTTAAAAAGCTGAAAAAAGGATTCACACGAAAGGCTGTAAGCGCGGGAACTGTCGTTGATAAGAAATCCTTTCGGGAATTCGTGTCGCGCTTATTTGACTAAAAGCAGGTCGAATTAACGTGCTACATTGTACACGCACACAAGAACGTTTCGAGTTTTAGTACCAGGCCTTCATTACTCGTTCAGAAAACATAGATTTTGAATAATCTTAACATTGAAAACAACCTACCGTCATTGTTTAATTTTCTTTAATTGAACTGTATGTACGATGTATTGATATCATGGGAATTGTAAAGTAAAATTGTGTCGAAAATCATCGCAAAGGCCAATGGTAATGCAATGATGGCAATTGAGTGGCAGCCAAGTGTCAAACCGAGCGACCGATCGATATAACGCTACGCTTTCGTATGCATCACGTGGCGCTCAGTCGTAGGTATCGAGGTCTAACTAGTTTTTCAAGTCCAAATTTCCTGCACAATTCGAGTTCAGTTCGAGTTTGCGAATTCGCTGTTCCTCTTGGATAACTTTATTGAGATTTCACTGACAATGCGAGTTTTCAAATGAATCACCTGAATTCTTCTCGTCCGTTCTCGATTGAAAGTTTAGGGCACGAGCGCTTTTGTCGCCCAGTCGACAGTAATGTGCTCGGCGTTGTCGCCAAATTGAATTAAACCGATATCCATGAAAAACGAACTGACGTTCTCGGCTGCTTTGAATTGGCGAGTATTGGGCTTACGACTGCGGGCACATTGCAACAGTCACATTGACCTTACTGATGGATAAGATGTAGTAGAATTGTAAATCATTGTCGTAGTCGTACTAGTCGTTCCTATTAGTTATGAATCTTTCTCATTACAAATACAGCATGACGTATATACGCATAATACAAGCACAACGAGGAGACTATGTTACTTGCCAATGTGCAGTTTTTGCTCGATTTCTGCCCTATTAAAGTCATAAAAAGCATTGAGTTAATAACTGATAGAAAATAAATCGAAACAATGATGTCTATTGCAATTATATTTATCGCTTGGTTTAAATTGAATGGAAGTCCTTCCGTTATTATAGCCATGACATGGCTTGCGCATGGCGTATGATTAAGGCATCAATTTCGAAAAATTCTCATTACGAAGTCGAGCGACGCTGGCGTAAATGGTGCCTCATTCCAAACTGAACAAGCTCCTCACTGAATGCGCTTAAAAGTCAAAGTTGTTCAGTAAGACGCACTGTTGTTTGTGGTCAGATAAGCGACTCGAAATAAGTAAGATAGGTGAAACTAATGTCAAACTATGCTCGGATTTTGGATTAACGCGTGCTACAGCGACACGACACCGTGCAATGATCAAGTAGTCCCATCGATTTAAATCCAGTATTGCCGCTGGAAAAATTGCTCTCGCGGATCCCAGATATTCCGGCACTAGATTTCTGAATGTTTGTATTGCGTCGGCAGCAAGTTTTCAGTTGAAGGTGAATACGGCACTGGCCGATCAGCCGACGCAATCCAAACATTCAGAAATCTAGTGCCGGAATTTTTAGGCTCTCTGAGAGCAATTTTTCTAGCGGTAACACCGTTAAAATCGCATTCTCGTAGGCTGAATCCGTTTTATACCACTCGTTTTGTTCTCCGATCACCGTATTTTTTAGTTCTTCCAATATCTCTTTGACTATTATATTATGTCACTTAAACTCTCCAAACATTTCTAAACGTGCAGCAGAATACACCATTCGACTCGTTAGATATTTTCTAGGGTGTAAATAAGTCAAACGATGCCTGAATTACTTTTGTGGACTGACTAAACCCGATAGAATTAAACATTACAATAATACTCCTTTTGCTTCAGTTTCGAATGTCAAAGAGAACTTGATATTTAGCCCAAATAAATTTAGTTATCTTAGCTATTAAAGTGAAAATATCGATTTTCATTATATTTAAAAAATTTATTTTTACACGTAACTTCAACATTGCTACCTGCTAGTAATTAGCTTATAGTACTAAAAACGTGAGATATATTGACCTTGTTACTTAACTATGTGTTCTACGTATTATTCGGATACTCTATGATATCAGCGCTTCTGTTCAGTTGGACCAGCTAATTAGGCTTTAGCTGACTCTAACGTTAGTGCACAGTCGATACTTATGCGGAATCAATCGAAATCAAACGCTATTAAATATGGATTAGAAAAAGATATTAATCTTTTGTATGTTACGATTTATATGGACTTTCAAGTAATTCTGCGTCAAATTATGCACACTAGCTTTTATAAAAGATTTGTAATTAGGCATTATCAAAGTGGCTAAAATTTGAGGACAAATTCGTGGAAAATTCTTAAAATTTATCGGAATAGACTGTCATTTGCAAGCTGTTGAATAGCTGATAAACACTGAACTCGCGCCGAATAAAATAAGCAGACGAAGCGTAGATGAATATAATTTGGATAAAATTTATGAATACTTATGTATATGTAGCACAATCGTCGCTTAGATTGCATTTATTGCTAATAAAACTTGAATCGAGTTGAAAAAGCTGAAAAGTTGTCGTAATAAGTGAGGCAATCGGCGAGTACTGTAAAATTGTGTTCTTTGATCTATGGAACCTTGGTTCACGTTTGAAGTTAAAACTAGGGTATAGTATGCCGTAAAGTTGAGTTGCCCGAATAACAGGTATGAGCTTACTTCTCAATTGATTGTTCGATCATAATGTCCGCAGATCGTAGTTACACTCGATTTCGAGTCCATACTGGTAGCTTTTCCGTAAAGCGCAACCATTATTGTCTTCACGCTGATACCATCGACCTTGTCGGTAAATGACACCTCGGGGGATTAGCCGAAAATTGCTAAGTCAACTTCTGCCATTATTCGCGTCAAATCAAAGAAATCAACAGCTCTATGCGAAGCTGTGAATAACTGCGAGGCAAATGTCTTTCATTGACCGAACAAAAGTGATCCTCGTCTAATATTGTAGCGCCGTAACTCGTAACTGAACCTCTCGATAATGTTCACTGCAAATTTATGACGCTAATCCATCCACTTGATCGACATCGTTCAAAGTGGAAAGTACTCATTAGCAGCTGATAGTATTTTGCTCGGTGGATTGTTGGTACTCGGCGCTCTCCATCACGGAGATCTCATTGACATTGCAGCTATTTATCAGTTGAATCTGTCTCACGATCATTTCGCTCACCGTGACTTTGATTATTCAGTTACGTTGTACCTGTCGTTGTCCGATGCTTTGAAAAAGCACATTCCTGACGCGCGAGCATATGAAATAGAGAAAGCAGTCCCAAGTGATGCAAAGCTACTCAATATTTGCTCGATATTTTAATAAGTCAATCTATAACTTTTACGATTCTACGTAGTCGTATTATACAGTCTTTGTGACTTTTATATGTCTTTATTGAACCGAATAACTTTCGGAATAACTGGTATTATAATTCAACGACCTTCATCAATCGCAACCGAATTCTACATCAGTTGAAATGAGTTTGGGGACAAGAATAGCCTTGCCCTCTGTCAAAGGAAGCTCGATTTGATTAAAATTTAATCATGTTATTCAACGCTCTCAATTATCCTACACTAAGTTAATTGTAACGAGTCAACATTCATTATGCTTTAACAATCGTCAAGTCAGTCACTCTGGTTTCACTTTCACGCATGTTATACATTTTAATATAGTTGGATTGAAAAAAATACATGCAAAAAAAAAATAAAATAAAATAATAAAATACCCAAATATAAATTGCAGTTTATAAAAGTATACATTTTCATTTAATATAAAAGTATTTTTCCTACTACGTTGTCATTCAGTTTATGGAATAGTCATGGTTAACCTTCGCCACGGTCTCTGTTCAATAAATACAATCACTGTACTGCGCCAGTATAGGTTCTTAAAAAATTACATAGAATTGAAAATGTAGCTTATATTGGAGCTTATTTTTTGATAAATCGACAAGTCACTGCGTTGGATCCTTTTTAAGCCATTCACCACTAATTTACAAACCATGTGGTTGCATTTAATAAGGTTTGCCATATAAGGTGCCAAATCACTTGAACTTGCCTTTTTCGCCTTCAAGTTTTTCGTACTACTCGAACACTTTCGTTATTCAAATGAGAGCGGAGCTCGCAATATCAACAGGCTTTAAACTATATCGAGTACAGTGGCTGTGAAATAGATCCGCTCTCGTGAGGTGATATAGTCATTTTTGATAATGAGAAGCGTAACTTGTAGGATGATTATATGTACGTGAGTGCCCTAAAGTAAATGAAACTTTAGTTGCCATGGAGTTAGAAAACGGAGTAAATTTGAAGTGTAAAAAGTAGAGGAAACTACGGTGAAACTCGCGAGCAGCAATGAATTGCAAAATTTCTACATAGTTGCTCTAATACTCATCCAATTAGAAAAAAGTTCCAAGATTAGATTCAAGAGCATTTCCTCTTGCAGTATCAAACGTATTGATTATATTTTCAATGAAATGTCAAATAATTTAGAGCATAGACTGATGTTTATCGAATCGAAACGAGCTCTCAACGCTCTTTTAAATATAATATCTGTAAATCTGACGCCTCTGTTGAATAAAAATATGTGAACTCATAAATTGCATCGCAACACGCGTCACTGCAGAATATTTGATTTAATTTGGATCTGGTGCGATGTCACTTATTAGACAACGCGTGAAATCCCTGCAAAGCAAATAGTAAAGTTTAACGTCCTGACGATTAAGAGGGGGGCTTTGCGAGTGTCGTTGTCCAATGGACAACCTTCGAAGTTGGGACTAATGTGCAAATGCTCGGCTGCTTGCAGGGCTTGGAAAGTGAGTCGAGCAGACGCCGGGACTCGGAGCTGTCGGTGGTGGGCGTGGTGGTGCCGTGGGCTGGGCGCAAGCTGTCCTCGGCGTCGATGACGGGTGGCGCAGGCTGCGGCGCCGGGCGCCAGGTCCGAGCGGGCAGCCTGTCACAGCACGAGGAGGTCCGCCTGCACAAGCACCTGCGGGTCGTGCGCGTGCTTCTGCTTAACGTCGGCGCGGTGCTGCTCATGTGGCTGCCCATCACCGTGGTCATGCTGCTCATATACCTCGACGGCAGACGCCCGACCGAAGACACTGACTTCTTCTTGAGGTCGGCGTAACGCCCACTACTCCTGCTTTGCCGAGATCCCTCCGGACGAAAGCCGAACCGTCGAACCGTCGAACGCGCGCGCGACTTGTCTTTCGCTCGAGCCGGCCAAGCGAGCTGCTGCCGCGTCCGCTTGCGAACCGCGCGTCCGTCTGGTCGTCGTCCGTCGCGGCTGCTTTTCCTCGCGTTGGCCTAGAGGAAAGCCGGCCGTCGAGCCGGCAAATCTAGGCGAACGATGGTCACCGTCTTTCGCCGTCGTGGACAGCGAGCTGCGCCGGAACTGAGACCGAGACTTGTCCGCAGGTCCCATCACTTCGTCTGGGCGCTGGTCGTGGCGCAGTTCAACACGGTGGTGAACCCTCTGCTGTACGGCGTCTTCTCGGAGAACTTCCGCGCGTGTTTCGCCAAGCTGTGGCGACGCGAGGCCGCGCACAACAACAAGAGCAACAACAAGAGCAACAACAACAACAACAACAACAACAGCAACAACAACAATCCGGCGAGCGGGGAGCGTCCGAGCGGCGCTGCTGGGAGCAGAGCCGGCGGTGCCAGGTCGCTCGAGGTGCTGCAGACCCGACTGGCCGGCAGACTGACCGGCAACGGTTGCTCTTCCAACAAGTCGCCCAGCTGCGGCATCGCCAGCATCATCGAGATGCCTGCGTCCGAGAAGCTCTAGCTGATCGAGCCCCGCTCGCCAGCTTGCTAAAGTTGTAACCGACCGACCGGAAGACTGCGTTTCAGCAAAAAGTGCTCTCGGCGAAACTTGCATCGCCCATTCGAGATCTCGACGAGAGCGCTCCGCCGACACTCGATCCTACCCGCTCGCCAATTTCTACCAGGACCATTCCATTTTGTTTAGTTCATTTTGTCCACTCATTATACTCTATTGCAAGAGCAGCGAGTAGATCGAACATTTGATTTTGCGAAAATATTCCCCTAGACTGTGCTAACACCTGTTATACTTCGATTTAAGAAAAATGTCATTGAAAACACTGATTTGCATAAAACGTAAAAAAAGTTCCCGTCAAAACCAATTTACTACTAAGACTTTTATGAGCCGTTCGGATGCGTAAAAGTCAGCCAGTGAAACATCGACTGTAATGTTAATATACAGTGAGATTGATCAGCAGGTTGTCTAACGGATACGCGAGTCGCATTTCTGCAGCCGCGTCGGAGCAACATAACTTGATGGCACTTGAACATCGTCGTTATTTCTTTTCGATCATTAACTACTCGGAGCGTTGCAAGTTATCAAACGATTTAACCAGACGTCGAAGCAATTCCATATTTCGAGACGCAGCATTAAAAATCGATTTGACATTAACTACGAATAATGGGAGGCAAATGCACAATGACACGATTACAACGCTGTATAGTCGCATGGGTGTTTTGATAACACCTATACATGTGAATCTATTAATGTTTTGATACGGTTAATGTCTCTGTGCTTTTCTTGCCTATGGCAGAAATCGAGCTTATGTACGAGTAAACATTACACCCATTCCTATATTTTTTATATCCATCGCAAAAAACAATATGAATATATATTTTAAGGAAATACACTGGGATTATATGTATAAAATAAAATACGAAACATATTAGCGTCAACACTGTATTGGTTGTATTCGGAAAATAGTGAAATAGCTCGTTTCTACGTAAAAAATGTCCAAGAAAATTTTACCCATCTGCAAATAGGCCGATTGACGAGTCACGCTGTTCTCATTGCTACTACAATACCTAGGCATGCTTTGCGCGTAGTGGCTCTGGCCGAAACGCATTTTATAATTATTTTTTATGTTTTCACAGTTTTCAACTTTTTATTCGACAGAGAAATGCGTTATTCCTCAGTGTGTAAATACTTCATCGTTTCAAGATTCTTTTCAAAAATAATGATTATTCCTCTCTAGTTGCACCGTCATTGTATTTGAGAATATAAAATTGCAATCGTAAAAATTACTTTGCGTGCTAAAATAGTTGTAATCAATGTAAGACAGAATGACGCACTTTCAGAATTTCGATGCAAGCAGGACATTTATCAATGTAAATACGTGAGTATTTTTGTATTGATATGCGTTAAAGAAGTTGTTTATTAAATCAATGTATTTTTGTACTTAGTCAAACTTTGAGTGCTATTTAAAAGACTTGAGTTATTTTTAACTATATCGTACTTGCTAGACTTGAATAGTTTTCGAAGCTCATAACGTACGTGACAGGTCAAAGTTTGGCAAATAATGTAATGAATGATTTGTGTAAAGATTCACATTAAAGGTATTTTAAATATTAAAAATCTGCAGAATGCGTTGAAAGATTGGTTTGAGCGACTAGCTGCAAGTGGACGTGCTGCATGACAATCTTGGAGCAGAGTTTCATTCGATGCGAATCATAATAAGCTTAGCTATCCTCATATATCTCTTCGATTATCAATCTGTAACGAACAAAAGGCTGTCGATGACGAGATGCAATCAAGGCGAGGACTGAGCAGCACGTACCTCACTGGTTTGGACAGTTCTTCCGACTCGCGTAACTTGGCGACGTGGCTTATCGCAGTTTTATTTTCGGGATCTATCCGCAGCACGGACCGATAATCCTCTAACGCCTGCAAATGTCGCTCACCACTTGGAATCAACGAGTGCTCATTTTTGGAAAATCTAGCGAACGTCGAATAACTACCTGTCTGTTCTTCTCAAGGGACTCGAACGCGGAAGCTCTCCGAAGAAGTGCTTTCAGATTCGCGCAGTCAGCTTCGAGAACTCGGCCGCAATCCGCGATCGCTTGATCGTAGTTTTTCAGTTTGATATCTGCAAAGCAGTGCGAGATTGAGATCGAGGAGAGCTGCTCGTGATTTCAGCGAGTAGCGCGCACGAGGTGGTCGCGCGAAAAAGTAGTAAGATCCGAGTTTGGTCGGGCTTTCCAATCGAATTGCGAATCGCAAGGGACGGCATCGAGAGCAGCCAGATAAAGTATACGTACGTGCCATAGCTCGGTTGTTGTAGGCGTTAACGTCGCAATCGAGTGCTATGCTCGAGCTGTAGAGCGCAAGCGCCTCCTCGTAATCGCCGGCGCGGAACGCCTCGTTGCCCTTTTCCCGCTCTCGAGCCGCCATCACGCTCAGCTCTGTAGCCGTCAGCAGCGCTGAAAGCATAGCGTCCGATTCGCGCTGTGCGCTCGCAGCCGCTGCACGACCGCCGCTTGAGCGACCTTACACTTCTCGATGATCGTCTCCTTCCTCGTGCGCGTCCGCTCGGCTCGTCGCTGCTCCTGCGCGCGGCGCGCTTCGGCTCGCTCGCGCTCCTCGCTCAGCTCGATGCGCGCCAACTCGGTGTCCGCGTCGTATTTGTCCCATGCCGAGTAATCGTAGGAGCTCAGTCTCTTGCCTCGGTCCACGCGCGGCTCCGCTGACTGCACGAGCGCACAATTGATACTGTTAGGCCACGACCGTCTGTGACAGAGGGTCGGTTGCCGCGCGGACAGGCTCGCAAATAAGGGACAGTCGGTCGGTCGTTCGAAACGATAAAACGTATTTATTCTGGTTCTCTATAGTCCCGCTACAGAAACGGAGGTGTCGTCTATCGAGCTGGTCGCTGGGCTATCGACGCCAGACGGCGCAGCTCTGCGAGGCTGAGGTACTGGAGGATGTGCTCGGCGACGAGGCGCGGCAGGCAGGCGTCCAGCCACCTCTCGCCGAGCCCGCGCGCGATCTCGTCGAGACTGGCGCAGCAGCGCTCCAGCAGTGCGAGCCGCTCGACGGCCCGGCGCAGGCTGGCCCCGAGCGCGCCGCCGTAGATGGGGAAGGCCCGCGCGAAGTCGACGGCGGCCGCGGCCTCGAGGAAGCGCGGATCGCGCGCGCACCGCGCGGCCTCGGCGTCGCCGCCGGCCAGCAGCCGCAGCAGCCCCAGCGGCTCCTCGGGCGTCGGCCCGGCGCGCTTCACGCGCTCCAGCTCGGCCAGGCACTCGTCGAAGGCCTCTTGAAAGGGCGCGCCACGGAGCGCGCGCAGACCGCGCTCGCCGAGCAGTCGGGGCGCGGTGGCGAACAGCCTGGCGCCGTGGCGGGCGAGCGCGCGCCGCACGGCCTCGGTTGGCCCGAGCCGCGGCCCGGCCTGCTCGCCCTCGGCGCTATCGGCGCTGTCGGCGCTGTCGCCGCCGTCGGACTCGTCGGCGCGCGCCGCGGTGGCCTGGCACCGCGCCAAGCTCAGCGGGCTGTTGCCGTGGTCGTCGAGCGCGCCCAGGTCGGCGCCGCGCTCCAGCAGCAGCTCGACCATGCGCGGCTGGCGCTGGTCCACGGCCACGTGCAGCACCACCTGACCGTGGAGCACGCGCGCGTCGACGCGCGCGCCCCAGTCCAGCAGCAGCCGCGCGCACGCGCGCCGCCCGGCCCACACGGCGCAGAACAGCGGCGTGAGGCCGTCCTCGCTGGTGGCGTCCAGCCGCAGGCGGCCGCGCGCCCGTCGCAGCAGCAGCTCCAGCACCGCGGGGCTGCGGTTGGCCGCGGCGAAGTGCAGCACCGACTGGCGCGCGCGCGTCAGCGCGCCCACGTCCGCGCCGCGCTCCAGCAGCAGCGCCACGCGGCGCGCCGGCTGCGCCTCGGCGCAGAAGTGCAACGGCGTGCGGCCCTCGTCGTTGCGCGCGTCCACGTCGGCGCCGTGGCGCAGCAGCAGCGGCAGCGCGCGCGCCGCGCGGTTCTGGCAGACCAGGTGCAGCAGTCGGTTGCCGCGCGCGTCCAGGCTGGCGTCCACCGCGACGCCGCGGCGCAGCAGGAGGCGCACGGGTGCCAGCGCCGCGGCACCGCCCTCCGGCGCCGCGCCTAGGCCCCAGTTGGCCAGGCGGCGCGCCGCGCCCGCCAGCAGGCCCGGCCCCGGCGGCGCGCCCTCCGCGCACAGCAGCGCGAGCAGCCGCGGGCCCGCGCCCTCGGTCAGCGCCGCGTGCAGCGCCGTCTCGCCGCGCCGGTTGGCGTAGCTCCGATCGGCGCCCGCGCGCACCAGTAGCGACGCCAGCTCGGCGCAGCCGCTGCGCACCGCCAGGATCAGCGGGCTGTCGCCGGCGCGGCGCTCGGGTGCGTCAACCTCGGCGTCGTGCGCCAGCAGCAGCCGCGCGATGGCCAGCCGCGTCGAGTCGGGCGTCGCGGGACTGCAGCGCCGATCGCAGACGAGGTGCAGCGGCTGGCGTCGATCGCGGAAGCAGGCCGCGGCGCGCGCGCCGCTCGCCAGCAGCAAGCCCACCAGCTGCGTCTCGCCCGCCAGCACGGCCAGCTGCAGCGGCACGTCCTTGCCAGGGTCGGCTCGGGCTGCGCGGCCGCTGCAGTGCCGACGCAGCAGCAGCCGCGCGCCGCGCCGGTCGCCGCACAGGATGGCCGCGCACAGCAGAATGTAGGCCGTACAGTCGGCACCGCCGCCGCCGGGGCGCTCGCTCGTGTGCTCGGCGAAGCCGCCCCGGCGGACCACCTCCTCGAAGTAGGGCTCGAAGGCGCGCAGGCGCCGCGCGCGCTGCTCGCGGCCTTCCGCGGCGGCATCGCTGTCGCTGTCGCTGTCGGAGCCGCTCATCGGGCTGACGCGCCCCACCGACCGCCGCCTGCAAGCCACTCGACGCGCTGAGCGTCCACGCGCGGCCGTCGAGTCGCACTGACCTGTTCCGCCGGCGGATCCTCGGCTCGCGGATGCACCGTGCTCGGGGCCGCGGAGTCGCTTGCGTGCACTGAGAACGCGACGTGCACTCGCGCGCTGCTGGAGCGCTCGCGTAGGTTTTCTCCGGAAAATCAATACGCGGGCCAAACGCGCCACTCAGAGCAAGAGCACAGCCCCCCACGCGACTACTTCGTTCGATCGCTCGCTACATCTACCGGCGGCTCGGCCCTCGAAGAGAGCCCGGGTGCTTTGCGCGGAGCGACGCTCGTCTAATGACCGTACTCGGGCACGGCATGATTCGGCGGTCGCATTCACTTTGGACGCTCGGCCGGGTGTCCTGACGGCGGGCCGCGGCAGCGGCTCGGCCTCCAGGCTCTTCTCGTCCTTGAGGTCTCGATCCCGCGTGCGCATCTGCTGCGTCCAGTGGCCTATCTCGCCGTCGAGCTGGCCCCTTTCACTTGGATCCAGGAGATTCTTGGCGATCACGGGCTGTGGCACGCGCAGCACTGCGCTGTCCGGCCGGACCTCCGACAAACGTTCCTCGGCGAAGTTCGTCAGGTGCGGATAGACGCCCTCTTCGCCTGACCTATTCGTCAGTCGGCGCAACGCGAAATCAAGCATCCGCTAGCAGATAAACGCTTCGAGTTACCTTAGTATCCGTACTATGCGTTCAAGCTGTTTGGCATCGGAGCATTGTCCAATGTACTCGTACGATAAATTCTCAACTGGAACATCAAACTTCTCCAGTAGCGACTGCTTTCTTTCCTTCTTTCCTCGATTCGAATCATCGGCCTCTTCGTAGCTCATGATTGAGCAGGTGTACAACTTCGCGAACGAAACCTAGCGCTTCAACGACTCAACGTTCAAAGGCGAAACGAATGTCTGGAAACTCAGCGATGTACTATATTATTTTACTGCTATACTGGAGTATCGATTTCTCAAAGCATATCAATTCTATAGCATGGTTTGTTATCATGGTTACGGCAATATTGATCAAGCCATCATTATTTACGTTTTCGCGCGCTTTCAGGTTTTGCGCGTTGCGCCCTCTTTCTTTCATGCAAGTTATTGTTGAATGTTGTCTATAGTCTCTTCTGCTCTCCTCGTGCGATATGCGTATTTCAATTGAGTATATATAATAATCCAGTCTCAGACCTGTTAAATCGAGATTGGATAATTATTCTCACAATTTACTTTCGTGTCGTAGGTTTTTCATGAAATCTTCGACACTCATAGGTTATAAAAACACCAAGTAAAACTATATCCAAATTTTCATCGTAAACAGTGTCGAATTAGCCTGAAAAGCTGTCAAACCTCGAGGGGTAAGTTTGGCCGTTATTTTAAATTTGTTATGTATTTTTATTCTGTCAGTTTACCTCTTTTATTTACTCATTTACTTATTTACTTTGACCTTTCAACCATAACGTGGATACTGAAATATCTTTCGTTTCTCCAATTCGTTTGTCACAATTATTGAACTGAAATTTAATAATTTTTCAGAAAGAAATCCAGCAAGGCCAACATGCCGGAACCTGTACACCATCAGATAAACACTGCAAGAAAAACATTTCAAGCATTATATCGAATATCAAAGCTACTCAATACTAATTTGGATCCAGGAACATTAAGTTACTGCGTAAGATTGTGTGAAAATGGTGTAAATCCTCAAGCTCTAGCTATAGTTGTTAAAGAATTGCAACGAGAAGTCAAAGCTTTAAACAGTGCATCGGCTTACACAAGCAAAACCAGTTTAACAAAATAATCAAATGATCAATATGATAATTGTTGAATCTAAATGTTAAGTGATTAGTCGAAGTTTTCTTATCCCTCATTAGTATTTATTTAAGCTATACACTCTCAAAACAAGTTTATACTTAATCTATCTATCTCAATGATAGTTGATAAAGCATTTTTTAGTAAAAAATTTTATATTTTGGTAAAAAACATTTATTTATAAAATAAAAATAACAGATAGGCAATAAATTGAAAATTTAAATTTGTTCTTATATTACTTTAACAAAAAAATATTTTTTGTAATCTTAAGCACAAATTTTATTGTGAATAAAATGCTTTTGTTATGAAAAAGACTTTACAATTCATTTTTCGGAGGTAAATCCACTTTTTCTACAGTACCTTTTGGTTTTGGTTGGAATTGGTCCAATCTTTCTTTTGCAGCCTGCAAATAAATTCATTTATCACAACAATGCAGCATATGAAAATTTTCTTGCTATATATATAATTCATTTACCACTGATGCATGTTTCCCAACATAATTTTGTCCTTCCAAAGTTACATGTGAACATTCAGCTTGTTCGATCAAAAAGTTCTTAGCATCAACAGCTTGTGCTCCATCTCTGAACATGAATATTGCTCTTTTTGCATCAATGGGATATCTAAAATGGTTTGAAATAATAATTATTTTTATGACTCAGATTCAAACAGATAAAATGAATTAGGTACCGTTCTGCAACAATGTGATTATTTTGAAGACTGGTTTGCCATATTCGCAAAATGCTATCTGCTTCTAATTCAGAAAGTTCTGGATTAACATCAATAAACATCATAATACTTTTTCCCTTCTTTGATACTTTAAGAATATTATCAGGATTTGAAAAATCTACCTGAAATTAAATGAATTAGATTGAATTTCAATTAGCTTCTATTTTATTAGTAAAAATGGATAAAACAAAATATTAAAAACTGAAGTGGTGTTACTAACATTGGATAAATCAATTTTTGGCTGAGGCCTAAGATACTCTGGAAGTTCATCTGGTTCTAGAGGCTCCTCGTTTTCCTGCAAAAGTAATTTTGCACATGAATGTAATTTTTTTAATTAAATTTGCATAATTTTTAATTTTACTAAATTTTGCCGAATTATCAATTTATTTCTTGCTAGCTGATTCAATGGTTTCATGTTAAAATTGAATAATAAGAAGTTATTACCATAAATGTTGTAAAAAAATATTTCATTTTTACTGAAATGTCAAATAATTGTTCATTAAACATGTAAAGTTTAAAATACCTTGGCAATAACTCAATTCTTTTATTTAGATTTTGTGATTTATCATTAATTAATAATAATTTTGATACCTCCCACTGGTCCAGTAAATGCTCCAAATCAGCATCAGTCATATCTCTTACATCTTTGCCAATTCTTTTAGGTTTTGGCTTTTCTATCGTGGCATTAACACACATCACTCCATAGAACGTAATGAGCAAAATTAACTTGCATTTTGGAGTGAGAGTTCTGAGCTTCATTGTTTATGTTTATTCTACTGATCAAGGTTATGTCTTGCAGTATTAAATTTCGAGTATCTATGTTATTTGGAAGCACTAAAAGGAATATGTACTCGTCAATCACAAGATTAATTACTTATACCACGTTTTTCTGTAAGTATTTGTATCATTTTATGGATGGATCGCAGACGTAGTTGAAACCGTATCAAACGCCAAGTGGACAAATCCAATAGGCCCACTGGTTGCCGGGTCTGAATATCCGGCCGATCCGGCGAGCGAAATTATTGTTTTACATCATAGCGCTTACGGATGTTCTGTGTCCTAGTTGTGTTCATTCCATCCATGTCACGTTAATTAATGATAATTATTTTATCAAAATATTTATACCGTTATTTTTATTGTTAATAATGTTTGCAAAAAAAAGAGCTAAAAAATGAATTTTTTTAATTTTTAATATTTAAACCGTTATTTTTATTGTTAATGATGCTTACAAAAAAAGGGCCTATAAAAAAATTTCTTTTTTTAATATTTTTTGCAATCAATAGTATATGTGCCACACACTCTGTTGAAATCAAAATTAAAAAAATTGTATTTATGTAATTATTATGTGTGCAAGGTTTTGGCTAAAACATTAAATAAAAACGCTGTTTGAATTTATTATTAAATGAGAAAAACATCTTGAGGTACTATTATTAATATGTATAATAATTTAATTTATCATCACATTTTGAGTCATCATAATATGAATTGTGAGAACCAGTCTTAAAAAAATAGTCATTATTAAAATTAAATATTTTCAGTTTTCTACATAGAAAAGAAAAATCTCAGTGAACTATAAGATTAATTCTAGTTAGAAATCAAATGTTGTTAAATGCATATATCTCTCTTAAGAAAACAAACTAACAAGATTTATGTTATCTTTGATGATATGGATTCATTTATAAGATCTCCTATCATTTTTCCAACTTCAACAGCATTTTTAAGAACAAAACTATGTTGAAATCCTCGTCTATCTAAATGAGCATCAACATCAGGAAATTTGGCTTTCAAATCTTCATAGTAACGTATGGGTGTCCAACCATCTTTACTGCCATAATACAAAAATAATTTTTTCTTATGCTGAGATATCAAATCATTGTCCAAGTCTTTTACAACAATCATTTCTTGCTTAGCCAGCAAAAAAATTCTTTTAAGTGGTATTGGATGAACCATTTGTAACACAGCATCTGTACAGTTGGTAGGTATTCCATAAAATAAACCAAAAATCCTAACTAAAATTACCTGCACAATATGAGGAAATAAAGTAAATATCCATGCCATAAACATGATAAAAGCAGCTATCCTCAAAATCTAGAATTGTAAACAAATTATAGTTAATTTATATGAAACTAATTGATATTTCTGTTATAAAATATTTGGAGCTTACTATATTTGTTAAAAATTGACCACATGGACTTTCAGCCATTCGTTCAATAGTCGGAAATAATAAATAACATTTTACAACTTTATCAGCAATCCCTTTATCTCTCAATAAGTTCATAGTAAACCAACTGCCAATTGAATGAGCAACTAAATGTATTTTAGCATTTGGTGGTACATACTTTTTTATAAACTCTGCCTGTAAAATAAACACGGTTACTACTATTAATTATAAGGAATTGTTTCCTTACCCTTCAAATTCAATCCGACATTTTATTGACTTATATCAGCTGAAATTTGATATAAATTGTATTTTATAAACTACAAACCTTATGTTCTAAATTTCCTTTTAAATCATATAAATGTCTAAAGGTTTTGGTATCTGGATAACAATCAGGAACATTATCTGGTGGTTTTGTATGCCCAGTATGACCTATAACCCATATTGGTATTTCACTAGGAAGTTTTAGTTGAAGTTGCTTTGCAAATTCTTCATAAAAGGCAGGTACACCAGGATTTCCAGTAATAATAATAACAATATCATTTTTTCCGTTCATGGCTATTCCTTCTTCCACCCAGCGATTATATGTAATAATTTCTGTAGGTACATTATTAACTGGAATAGTTGCACGATGCATTTTGTTCTTTTCCACTATAAATAATTTAATTTTCTGCCAATAACATAAAATAAAAGATATATAAATGTGTAACACCCTATTTATAACTACTTTTTTGTCTGATAAATTGTAATTAATAAAGTTAATTCCTTTCTGAACAAATGTAATACATTTTATTAATTTGTATCAATTCAAAATATTTTTAAAAATTTTATATCAAAAGTTTTCTAAATAGAATTAAAAGTCTTACAATGCATAAACAAAGTTGATTCATTAATTTATTAACTTGAAGCCGAAATATTATTTATTCTATGTGGATAATTGAAGCGTACATATGTTTAAAACAACGACAAATAAATATTTTCTTACCTAACTAATTGATTTTTATATGACAAAAATTATTCAAAATGCGATCCTGTATAATAAATTGTCGCTTTGACACTGCAAAAGGTATTTGATGTGAATTTCTAAAAAAAATATTCTAGACCATTCTTTTCTATCTACTTAATTTTTTTAACTCGCGAAAACTGCAAGAAATAAAGACTAAAAAAAAGATCATCAGATGATCAGATACTGCGATCATACTAAAGCATGGATTTATATACCTATATATGTTTGTCCCCCGTAGATAGCTTAGTTGTTTATAGTTTGTTAACGCGCGGTAAATATAATCAAGAAATTAATTTTCATCTTTATCAGATAATATATAATGATGTGAAAAAAAGGTTTTCTTTTGAAATTAAATGCTAACATCGTATATTTTATTTCATCACGTCATAGAATGGCGTAATTAGTTTAAAAAATGGAATGCTGCATTTTAACAAGATGAAGACAGACATAATGCATTGCTCCTGTACACAACAGGACTTATGTTGCTGGCCATTCTCATTATGGAGACTGTGTTTACATACACATATATTTATTTTTCTTTTATAGAAAATATCAATGAATCAACTTAATCAGCTGACGAGCATGTACAATATCGGTTCAGCTAAGGAGACTATATGCATTGCATGTGACGTTGCAATGCGTATATATATACGGTATTGCGCATGCGAAGTGCGAACGGGAGTATAAGTAGGGAAAGTGGCAAACGGCAAACACACACAAACAAGAACACGTTTTCGACAAGTAGTGATGGAGGACTTGACAAGCTGAACAACAAGTAAACCATTCTGAGTCACGTTGGCTTGGCCCGTCCTACAATTTTTCGCTTTGAACCCGTTTCCACACAACGCTTGGATGATCACCAGGTCCGTCTGCTTTGTTATTATCCCGATTTATCGGACTTATATAATAATTCGATTTGACTATTGTTTTTCCTAGTTGCATAGCTTGCGTGAGTGATTGTTAATTTTTCGCCTTTGTTTACGTTCGCAGATACACAAGACGATGCTTGTCGACCGTAAGGTTCGGCGGTTTATATTGTCTGATAATTGGATAAATTTTTGACAAGCATCTTCAAGTTCAATACCCAAAGGTCAGTGAATATTTTTGTAATTTGAAAGATCTTTACTTTCTTTCCTATAACAAATATTCTGATCAATTCTAGGCATTCTATTGTGCATCATGATGCATTGATTGTGTCTTGATGCTCAATTGATTCAAACAAATTTTTTGAAGCTTTCATGATAACTGATGGCAATTCAGAAAATGATGTCAGTTAGAAACAATTGAGATAAACTAGCTTTTTATCTTGAAAGATCATACTGTGCTCATTTGCCTAGTAAACATATCTCTATAGATTTTTGTAGTTATTCTGTAATGACGAGAACTAAATATAGAATAGATTAAGTTCTTTTCAATTTGCAAGTCATTTGAAAATACTTATTGTAGGTAGCCATGGCAAGAGCTGAGGGTGCTATTATTAACAATGCAAGCCCCGCTGGTATGCAAGAGATTATTCAGCTTGCCAGACTTTTGAGGGATAAAGGTGATAGAGTTTTAAGTGCCTCAAGCAAGTTGTCTTTGTCCACAGAATTACTTTATAATCTGAATGAAACGTTTTCAATGATCATTAATGAAACAGATGATTTGGAATCCTCTTTCCAAGTGTGTAATAGTTCTCGCAATGAGGTAAGCTTAATTTAAGAAAACAGCAGTATTTATTTTTTGTATTTGATGAAATATTTTTTGTAGGTTTTCCAAGATATCAAATTCTTACATGATTTTGTGCAAAAAACTATTGGTCTTAAAATTCAGAACAGCCACAACAATATAAAAGTTCCTGTTGATATCACAAAATTTAGACATTTGAAGTATTTGGAATTACAAAAAGTCCCTATAGACATGGTCAAAGGAATTCAGGGCATCAGAGGTCAACTTGAATGCATTGTTTGTACAGGTGGTCGTGGAGTTAGTAGTGTGCATGAGTTGTTGGGTAAATTTTTTCACTATTCCTTTTTTCTGTATTATGTGAAAAAAGTATAGTTTCAATAGGAAAAAAATTTATAGCATCTTGTGGAGCCGATGCAGGTACAGGCTTTGTTTGGGGATCATTACATCGATTAGCACTGCCATACAATGCTCTTACACACTTAGACAAATCTCTTGAGTTTGCTCCATGGCTAGAAATGATAGACTTGAGCCATAATTCAATAATCAAAGCTACAGAATTGGAATATCTGCCAAATTTAAGAAATGCTCATTTAGGATATAACAGTCTAGAATCTGTCCCTACGTTCAATAAAGCTACATTTCATACTTTACAAAAACTAATACTCAAGAACAATTATATTGATAATATACACGGTAGTTTAATCTTTATATTATGATTATATACTTGTTTTTAAAGCTATATTTCTCATGATTCTTAATGCATTGCACATAGGTTTACAAGGTCTTGATAGCTTAGTTGAACTAGACCTATCGTACAATTGTCTAACGGATCATTCAATGCTCTGGCCTTTGGAAACAATGTCGATGCTTATGTGGGTTTGTTTGAAAGGCAATCCAATGGCTTATCATCCTCGTCACAGACTACATACTATCAAACATTTGCATCCATCGCTCAGTGACAGCAAGGTGACGATATTTTAAGCGATAAAATTTGATACTAATAATAGTAGTAGTAGATTATTTAATATTAGTTTACATAAATATGCAAAATGTTGTCTGTAGATTGTAATTGAGATTAATTGATTGTAAATAACTAATATCCTTTTTTAGTACTATTCTGCACTAAGTTTTTATTGCTTTATTAGATTATCATTTGGTATTAGTATGAATATTTAACAAAAACTTGTCATGAGTGTGATTGGTTTGCCAGGAAAGATAAAAATAATCTTTTGACGATTGACTAGTTGACTAAACATATTAACGTTTTTAAATTCTTATACTGATATAAGATAATATTAGTTAACGTCATTTTATCAAGTTAAAAAAAGATACTACGTATTATGCTTTTTAACCGCTACTTTTATTAAAGAATGGTTGTTTAATTAACAGTTTGTATTGGACGATCATCCACTGAATAACTCAGAGAAATTATTCGTTTCGGAAAACCGCATTTCGGCCATTCGTTCAACAGTGCATCGCTCAACAAATGTGCCGAATCCGATGCCTTCCCTGACTGCCTCGTTAGAGACTCAAATTCAGGATAGCGGTTCGACGAATCAACTGGAAATCAGCGTGGATTTGACTGCTTCGATGTCCGGATTTAGGCAAACCTTGAAAAAGCGCAAAAATATGATGGAAGCGGTTATTGCCGAAGACGAAGTAGTGAAAGAACGATCGAAACCGAAATTGGCTTCGTCGTATACCAACTCGCTTGGTAAGTAAACATGAACTCAAGAATAAAAACAAAAACATTTTGAAAATATGATTTATATACCTAAATTTTATTTAAGTACTCGAATCAATATGAATTTGCATTTACAGAGGGGAAAAAATAGATTTTAAATATTTTTAATTAAAGAAAATTATTACTTATCTATCATATCCTGTATGTTATATTGAATGATAATTTTTTAGAAAATATAATGAATATTATTTTATAATGGCGTTTTAGTAATATAAACATTTATTTATTGAACTTTGATTTGCAGAAGCGTCGATGGATCATTTGGAAACCAAACGCCAAATTTTGGCATTACGAGCTAAGTATGGCGAGGAAAATTGGCTAAGTAGTCACTCAGCCGCTCACGTCCAGAATATAATGGGTTTGCGACAAACACCCTCTTCCACTCCTCCGGTGCTATCCTCATCGTTCACAGATAATCAACAAAATTTCACCGCAGCCGTAGCTGCAGTCACTGAATTATCTGTGTCTCCGATTTTACCAAGCACAGTTAACACGCATGTTATTGGAACTGAAGCTGTTAAAGACCAAGGCACACAGGTAACAAATTTTACTTTCTAGAATATTCTTTCATCGAAATATTTAACTTGAATAGTTAAGTGAATACTGCAGTGAAAATTTCTTACAACTTTAATGCACAAATCGGCGCTAGGATCAATTTTTAAAAAATTATACAGAAAAATATCATAATAGTTTTCAATGTTTAAAGTGATTGAAGAAAATTTTTTACTCTGATAGGTCGAAACTATTGAGAAACATACAGACGGCATCAAAGCAGATTTGCGAGAATATGAAAGTACTGACGAAGGTATCGTGGTTGAACCTGAAACTGAGAACGAGGCAGATGAAAATGCGACAATTAAAGCAGTGCAAGAACTGCAAGAAAGCTTTTATGACCCTGAAGAAGGTTTGTTATTTTCCAATTTAATATTTTTAAAATAACACCTAAATAATAAGTCCGCTAATTTTTTCAATAATAATTGGAACTTTTATTTTTATATTGATATAGAAAAAGGTGATCTGTACTTAGTTCAAAAGAAAAAAGGCACGGGTGACGTTGATGAGATTTTTTTAATTATATCTCAAGAGTAAGTTACAAAAATTCAATTAATTACATTTAGATAGTTTACATATGAAATCGGTCTTTCCTTTTTTGTTTAGGGACATTAAAGAAAGAGATTCAATAAGCGGTAAGATTAAATACCGCTGGGCCACAAATACGGTACTTTCTTGTGTTTTGGGTAGAGGTGTACCGACGACTATCGATATTACGTTTGATACCACAAGAAAAGATCGAGAAGCTAGAACGTATATTGTCGAGCTCGACGATGCTAAAGTAATTATAATTGAAACTGCATTCTTATCTTATTCTGTTACTTATTTGAACTCTTAGGGCTGTTCATATTTTATTTAATTTTATTCAAATAATTTTATATATTAACTTGTGTTTCAAATTGTTATTATTTACACATCATATAAACTACAATCACCTAATTACGTATGTACAAATAATATGGTAACTTAAATATTGGGCTTTTGTTCTATTTCAGAGAATTGTACAAACTCTTAACGAAATGATAAAAACTCAACCTATAGTTTTAAAAATCTTCAAATGCATGAAATGTTCGACTCATTTTTCTCAAGATGGCGACAACAATATTGTTACATCTTCGACTGGTATATATTCTCATGTAACTATCTATTATCCAGTCAAGTTATTTAAAAAATTTCTTTTGATTCAGCTGAGGGACCACTCAAATGCCCAACATGTAAAAGTACCCTGGTTATCCAAACAGATGAACTTCCGGCTACGGCGAGTGGGCCATTAGAAAAAATAACGGAAAAGCCAAAGCTCGAGATGCAAAAAGACGCTGGCAGCGAAGCTCGACTACCGCATTCAAGTTCTCAGTCTAGCATCGGTGAGATTTTTATAAAATTTTATTCAAGTAGAGTAGTTATTAATGAAAATGTAATGACTAATTATGGACCAAGTATTTGATTTGCATTTATATTTTTTAATAAACGACATATTTTAGTTTTTCGCGAACTATATTTAATTTACTAATTGAAAGTAATAATTTTCTAACGAGCATGCTTTTGGCGTGTAGAATATGTATTAATTTTTATATTTTTCGATATTCAATATTTGTGTTTAACATTAATTATATTGCAGTATACTTTTGTGAAAGTTACTGTAATCGAAAATAGTGAAATATAGCTTTAAATGAGTTAATTTTTTTATTGATATTTTTAGCAACGCTAGTACCTAATTAGTGACGTGTTTCAACATTTTTAGAGGTTTTTCAATGAAGGAATAATTTTGAGCCTTTTTTTTGACAACTGGTATGAAACCATTTAAAAAAAAACTTCGGTGATAATTTGACATAAATAATCATAAAATGTAGAGACGTCTGTCAAGTAAAGCTAGAATTAGCTATACTTGCAGATTGTAAATGATAAATAATACAGCCTTTCTGGCTATAGGTCAGTATAATTGAGTACGAAACATTTTCTTTTTGGTTCGATTTAATTTGGACTTGCGTAACAATAACTAATCCCCGGTGCAGGTGGAACAGAAAATGAAGCTATATCCATCGCCACTACTCTAAAGCACTTCGACTCTCACTCCCAAGCTCAAATCAGCTGTAAGCTTAGTCATAAATTATTTTTTATCGTTCAGATCGATTAAATGCCACTTCATACTATTCCTAATTCCTATTTGCTTATTATTTGTTGTTTTGTTTTCTATTTTATTAATTTTCAACGTCTACAAGGAAAATTGTATTATCGTGCACTATCATTTTTTGGCAGTCTAATATAAACGTTATTTTTCAAGCATTTTTTGTTGGGATTATACACAGAACTCTTTCATCCAACTTTACCTACATAAATGCTTTTAGATATTGCAAGCGTGAATGCTTTGGTAATATACACAATTTTTTTTTCAAAAATTTCCTATTCGTGCTATATAATATGAAGACATTGTATACACCACGTTTATTAATATCGTAATGTAAGTCTTATTATTCAATCTATCTTAAATACAACAATTTTAACAATTATCAAGTTAGTAAGTTTTGTATCATCCGTGTGTGCAAAATCAAATTTGTTAACACGATTGAAAAGTAGATGCATATCGAACTTCGAGCAGAGATAAAATCGTGATGTGTTCATTTTGATATCATTATTTTATACCGGTTCATTTGGTTAAATATCGCGACCTTTTCAATATGTATCAAAATCTTGATCATTATTCAATAATGAAACTATATTTTTACGTTGTAAACCTTATCTTGTAAATTCGACATTGTAGACAATGTTGAATTTGATTGACTTAAATCAAAGTTCATTATGATTACTAGTGGATAATGAATTTATTGTGCATTATTCTATTCATTTGATTAATGAAAGTTTAATTGGCAAACATGCAATCAATCAAAGCAATGCTTACACAAGTTTTAGTGTACAATCCATATCATACACATTTTTTCATGTTATAAGTTATCACAATTTAAAAATTTGCATTCTAAGCTATCGAAGTATTTGTTACGTAAGTATTTGTTACTTTTCTCACGATCGGTTTGAACGCCAGGTTCAGCTACGAGTCTAGAAGAATCCCGAGAGTCAACGCCTTCGACTGGAACAGTTAATAATAAGTACGAAAGTGATATTGAAATACTAAGCAATCCAAGCCAAAGTAGCATTGAAGTTCTTTCCGATGGATCGAAGTAAGTAATTTTCGACTTGCGAGTGCCGTTTGTTCATTGCTAAATGTGAAAAACAGTATTTAATTGAGAATATTTTGAGAAAATACTCGTTCGATGCTTTCGATTAACTCGCCGAATTGCCAAATTGTCAGAGTGTGATTGATTCAGCAATGACTAGTTCGTTGAAAGCGCACATGTCAATAAGAAACAAGCTTTGGTAGACGAGAAAAGCCGAGCTGTTCTAACCGATTGCCAATTTGTGTAACCGTTAATTAGGTCGACGACGCCAAAGCGCAAGAAATCGTCGGAAGAAAGACGCGTGGCTGTAGCTCCCTCGTTATTAACAATCCCCGATACCAGTCTTCTTATGGCGGGCTTGACCGAGAGTAGCTCATCAGGTTTGAACCGTTTCATTGCCGTCCTGATCTACGCTTTTAATCAAAGAACGATGCCTCTATATATGTGCAAACTAACCTCATTCGCAGGTTCATTGACTGACAGTGTGTGTACCGCTTACGAAAACAAATCCCTCAAGTTAGATAAGATTGATTCTAACAGCAAAAGCGTCAGCGATGCCGAAACGGTCAAGGCCGATATCGTGGATTCGGAGGGCTCTTTTGCACCTGTCGCCAATTTAACGTCGATGCTTGGCGGTAAGTTCGTTCTATCATCTTCACTCATATTGCTTTCGAAGCTTGTGGTAGTATGTCCAACAGCAAATTGTCGTTCTTTTGTGAGTGCCTCTTACGATGCGTTATTCTTAACTTTTCTATCAGAACTACTTCAGAGTATGAAAATTGGGGCTTCTAAAGACACAATCGCCAAATCGGAGGAAAGCTCCGAGTTTATCGGCACTAGCATTCAATACTCCTACACAAATTTCAGCGACGTCGATCACAGGATCAAGCTTCACATTATACTGAATGTTTTTGAGCATGAGAACGAAGATCTTGCGTTTTTGCTACGTGTACGTACATATAGTTTTTTTTCTCGAGTTTAATTCAGCGTTCGTGTGTAACGATTATTTTTTTACATCCAGGCTGACATACTAACACAAACATCACCAGATCCCTTCCCCGGATGCTTAGTCATGTCGACGGCCAAGCTTTACATTCTCAGAATTAGTGGACCAGAAGGGTATGTTGTTTTTATTGTGTTTTAAAAGATGAACATGAACATTTAGATCACTAATTTTTTCCAACATTTTTCAGTGAAGACCCTCAACGTTGGTTACATAAAGAATGCAGTTGGACGGTAGATCGACTCAGATCTTTCGCGCCGTTATCATTCAAACAAGGTGTACTAGTGGAATTGCAGCAGCCTAATAAACCCGGAGAAAATGTTACCAACAACGTAGTCCTTTGTATATTGCAAGACTTTCAGAGGACGTCTAATTTTTTATTTTATCTCACGGGTATGCAAATAAAAATTACGCTAATTTATTGTTAGAAAACTTGTGGTGCCACTGCAACTTTTAATTTCAGACTCTCCGCTTCCTGCCAGCTGTGAAGTCGAATTTACGGTACCTCAATACTACAATACGTCTATGAAAAATATCCTCAAGTCTTCCAAAAATCACAAAGAGGAAGATGCTATCAGATTACTCGCGATATTTTCTTCAGCTGTTCTTAAATTCGCTCATGAAACTCAGAAGCTCAAAGTTTCTAGCTTAATCGTTACTTCTTCTACACTAATCATCACGCAGGATAAAATTCACTGGCTTTTATCTGGGAGCAATAAACTACCATCTATCGTAGCTGAACAGGGAATGAGTAATTTAATAGAAGTGGTAAGCATTTATCAAAAAACTTTTTTATCAATAATCACCTCTCTGAATAATTGTGATAAATAATGTTGACCATTTATTCAGTCTTTCGATTATTTAACGAAATTAATTCGAAATCTCGAAAAAATGTTTCAAACAAAAATGTTTCATATGTAATTTTCTATATATGGGCGTAATTCAACTATATTAATTAAAATGCTTGACGCATTATAAATAAATAAAACTAAAATGTTGTTCCTTTTCAGGATTTGACTGGCAATTCTTTAAAGATGAGTTTCCTTGACGAGGTGGCTGATGTAGAAACTAATTGGACACTGGAATTTGTATCGCTGAGTGCTGCAGAGGCAGTGATAAACTCAATTCGTCCTCCGTGGGAGGAGCTGTTTTCGGTGCCATTACAGATTAACTGTGAGGCAAATACAATGTTGACTAGGGCGACAGAAGCAGAGGGATGTACGTGACAGGTCTCGAATAATAACGAAGTGGTGCTCGCTTATCAATCACCTCCGCGGTTATACTGCGAGCGACTTGTGCGTCACATTGTCTATGTGAGGCAACTCGTTGTTGCCTGCGTCCTCTATCTTTACTTCCTCTACGGCATTGTCTTCAGCGATATTAGATTCAAGACGCGGCAATGATGTGTTGTTGATTTTGTATATAATTGACCATTGGCCAACTGATGTGATTTTCAAAAGTTGACATTGTAAAAAAATTGTTTGTAAATTGAGCCGTTATTTGAATTGATTTTAGTTATTGGATTTGTCCTGCGTGTTTCAAATTTTTTCTAGTGATCGCTAACTAAATATTCATCAAATATATTGTAATTTTTATCTACGTAACAATTATATATAAGTTTTACGTTAAAAAGTGTATTTAAAAATTTTTGAACGCGAATTTTCGTTATTTTTGTTTGTCAGGTTAAATTTATGAAGTCATACAAGTAATTTTACAAGAAAATCGTTTGTCCCACCGTTTACTCGGCTAGAAAATGTTTGCTTTGATTTGTTCCTAAGATGTTTCAAAAAAAGTAATTAGCAGATATAAATGACATGTTAATAAAAAATTGTATCTAAACATATTTTTTATTTAAAACTGTTTTTATATAAAATAAACTTTGTTAAAAATACTCACTATTGCTTTTTTAGTTATCACTTTTACCATAGTTAATTGCAGTGAATTTTATGCACAAATGATGAAATATGATGTAATATAAAATAGACAGCCATTACATTAAATATTAATAAAAAGTATAACTTTAAGTATAAATAATTTATTTAAATAAACAATTTTCACACACACAAGTTTATACAAATGTACATTACAGTAATTAAATTATAAACTGTTCGTGTATTTTTAATTAACACAAAAAGTATTTAAAAGAGTTAAATGCTGTGCAAGATTTAAAAAAAAAAACATTAAGAAGAAAATTATACAGCTAGTATCACAAAAAATAGAATGTATTTATTTAAATATTAAACTTTATATCAAACGTCACATCGAGTTGTATTATATATTAGAAAAATAATGATCTACGAAGTTTAAGCTAATCCGAAATTGATCACTTTATGTGATCACTGCTTCAGATATTTGTCGATGTATTCAAATTATTCAGTTTTAGAAGTGGATACGTGTATAATATTTTTTAAATCATCATCATTCAAGTGTTGTAAAATATTTTCTTGAATACTAGGTAACGATAGACCAACTAAAGTGCTAAATTTCGGTTTAGAGACTTCTAATACTGGTCTTCTTTTAAGGCCATTTTCAAACTGAGTTTTAATTAAACGACCGTAAATCGGAAACATTTTATTAAAATTAGCTGAAGAGATTATTTTACGAAGTTCATTGTTTTGACTATGAAGCGTCATCTCGGTAGGATTCTTAAGTAAAATATCACATAACGTTGTATAATTATCAATATACGTATTCCTCAATCTTTCAAGCTCTGATGCACATCGTGTAGCAAAGCCATCCATGTTATAATGTACGTTATTTTCGTGCTGTCCTGCTGTCAATTCTCTAAATCGCTTAATATTTTTGTAGCTCACGTAATCGCCAATCAATTGTTTTCTCTTTATATGCTTCATAATCATGAATACGCATTTACTCGCCACGTTGGCGTCAAGGTTCCGTTCAATATACTCTAAAACAGTTTGACCTTGATCATTTTCAATATTAATATCTGCCCCATTATTCAAGAGGAAACGTATCTTCTTAGGTAGATCAATAATACTATAATTGTTCCATTCACGACAAATCGAGAACAGAGGCGTTTCATTACAAATGTTTTTGGCATTTATATCAGCTCCATACTTCAATAGAGCTGTTGCTATCCTCACACCTTCGTGTTTATGTAGTTTTATGCAGTGCAATGGTGTATTTAGTTCGATAGTTCTTAGGTGTACGTTAGCTCCATTCTTCAAAAGGAGAAGAATCAAATTTTCTGTAGCAAATTCACTATTAACCGCTAAATGAAGTGACGTATGGCCAGTGCATTCGTCCTCAACCTTCGAAAATACTACTGGTTGATTTACATCGGCTCCTTGTTTTAGGAAGTACGAGACTGCGTCGACGTTTCCTATTGTGCATGCGATATGCAAATGAGAATAGCCCTCATCACCAACTGGATTTTCCTTCACGTAAAGTAATTCAGAATTTTCTCTAACGAAAAGTAAATTAATATCTGGCATGAAACATCTCGTAAAAAATATTAAATGCGCTGGAGTATTTCCATCTTTGTTTATTACTGTTATGTCTGCTCCTAACTTTATCAGAGTTTCAATAATTTCTGTATTACCATAATGAGCTGCAAAATGCAATGGTGTATAACCACACCAATCAGAAACTGGCCAATTAACGCATTTGTTTATCTTATCTGGGTATAATTGTATAAATTGAGAAGCATTTTCAACGTCATTTAAAATACAATAGATATTTAACAAAGAGAATCCTCTATCATCAAAATCATCATTAATTCTGTGAGGTATCTTGGACAAAATTAATTTAAGTATATTCAATATATCTTCAGAATCCTCTAAATGATAGCTGGATGGCTCAAGTAACCTAATTGCCAGATCTAGAGAAGAAAAACCAATGCCATTTTTAATTGTAACATCAGCTCCATTTTCTAAAAGAAGCTTTACCGTTTCTGTTTGTTGAAATTCTACAGCAAAGTGTAATCCTGTGTAGCCAGACCAAAATATTGAATTTTTATTAACATATTTATTAATGTTGACATCACTACATATAAACATCTTCACAAGTTTTACTTCATTTTTTGCACAAGCAATATGAAAGTGTGACAGCCCATCATGATTGACTGGATTACTATGACAAGTTTGGTGAGCTCCTAGTAGCATATCTAAAATATCTGCTTCTTTTTTTTCAAAAGCAAGATGAAGTGGGGTTTTGCCTTGCTTATCTTTTATAATGACAGAGGCCCCATTTTCTAGGAGTAATTTTAATTTTGTCTCATCACAGGACTGTACAGCAAGATGTAAAGGTGTGCTGTCAACAATAGATCTATCTTCTGAGAATTCCTCCATTGTACTTTCAGTGCACTTTTTTCCAAGATCATTTTTTGATAAAACTAAATCAATAATCTCTGTATTTGCAGTTCTATAAACTTCTAAAATTGGATTCACAATGGCAAGGCCTAGAGATAAATTTACATTTTCGGAAAGAAGAACTTTAACTACATCTGCACATTCATATTCTATAGCAAAATTAATAGGTTTATATCCAGGTCTACTCATAGCATTATTAGAAACAGATGCATTGATATCTACTCCTTGTGCTATAAAGCTCTGAACAAGATTTGGATTATTCCTAGTACATGCTATGTGAAAATGTGATAATCCTTCACAATTCACTGGATTTGTCAAGTGACATTGACTAGTTGACAAAATTAAATCGATCATGACCTCATCTCTCATCATATCAGCTATATGAAGAGCTGTCAGCTTCTTTTTATTTCTTATTGAAATTTCAGCACCACAGTTCAGAAGTAACTTGACTGTATCATAACACTTGTATTTAACTGCAAAATGTAATGACGTATATCCAGGCCAGTAAAGTGAATTAGGATGAACTTGCCAATCAATTAATTCTCCACCCTGCAAAAACTTTTTTACAATATCAACACGATTCCTCATACAAGCAATATGCATGTGTGATAAGTTTTCTCTATTTAATATATTTTTTATTTCTCCAGCTGAAAGTAAAGTGTCAATAAGTTCAGTTTTCTTCATCTTACATGCAACCACTAGTGGTGTTTCATGATTACAGTTGCGAGCATTAACAGATTCTCCTTTATTCAATAGCATTTGAACAATTTCCAAACTTCCCAAATTTACTGCTAAATGCAATGGTGTAGTGACACAGTCAGCAAGCGAACTTCTACTTATAGCTGTATTTTGTATCAAATATTTTGCAGTTTTTTCATCTCCACTTCTCAGAGCTTTGTTTAATTGACTATAACTTCCATAACTAATACCTAATTGAGACTTTATCATATCTGATAATGAAGTGACTCTAAAGCAATTTTGAGTGAAAACTTCCTCCAAATCCTCATCCATTTTCCCAACTACTGTAAACACCAATTATGTATCTTAATCTGTAGTATTTATCTCATTAATATGTCATTAGACTAAAAAGTTACATTACAATTTTAAATACCTCGAGTAGGTTTTTTGTTCAATAGCCGTGATTCGGAGTTCGTTCTTTTTAATAGCAAACGTTTTCAGGTTAACGCACTTAGCTGCAACGAAAACAAAAATCATTATTTATTTTTATTACTAAAAATTATATGATTTCTATACACTAATTGTGACTACCGAGGACTAATCGATAATTTTATCAAACAAGAGACAAGAGACAAGACTTATTGACATGCGCTTCAATACGGAAGTACAATTTAATTATAATCGTTAAGCTATGTATAAGTTAACTATACACTACTTGACAAATGGACAACAATAGAAAATTATCACGATGACAGAGTTTCATAACACAAATCCAATTTGATCAGTCAGTCTACACTGTCACAACTAATTATCTGCATATATATACAGAATACATACAGATGTACACCCGAAGCCTATTCGTGGACTTCAAATAAAGCAGTTGTTAACAGTATTTTTGTGGAAAAAATTGTTGAATTACTTGAGAGATGTCACCATAGTTAACAACGCAGTTATTCGCTAAACAATTTGAAGTGATGATAGCGTGGGGAGGACCCACAAATCCGAGTTGCGCACGCATATGCAAGCAAGCCAAGGCTGGCTGCGCTTGAGTAATGAACACTCGTCGCTCCACTGCTGCTCAGCTGTACTGGACTAACTGGACTACTGGCTCACTGGCTCTCAGTTCTTGCTATGTGTGTGGTGCACTGCATGACGTACATACATACATGTACGTACACATACATGTGTTGCGCACACAGCCTTTATTTTGAGCGCGTAATACGATTTCTCGTTTTCGCATAGAAATCTTTGTATTGACAAGTTTTAAGTTTGCCGACTTGAAAAACGTTCTCTATTTTGTTTTTGACTGTGTTTTTTGATGTACGTTTGTGAATAGCTCTAGAACGGTTCGATCCGTTCCGATGGGTTCATTTGAAAAGATATGCTTCAAGTTGATCTTGTTTTATTATTGACTTGATTGAGACATAACTATGTGAGTAATTGTAAAAAACTGAAGTTGAAGTCAATCTTCTTTTCAGAAGACTTACTTGTCTATTATTATATTATGTAGTCTTGCCTTGATATCAAAGTGTACACTCTACTAAAAATCGCCAGAAAATGAGATCTCAACTGTGATTATGATATTTATTAAAATAGATATTTAACATGATTGTCTAGAAATAATCACTTTAAATGATATTCAAATAGGCGTGTAATATATAAATTTATTGTGAGCTTGCTTACAATAAGTTGCTCGAATGGCTTAATTGCTGAACTTGGAATTTCGAGTGAGCTTTGATTTTCGAGTTCAAGCAACTGAGCTGTTGCAAAAGTCTCGGTCTTTTAAACCTTACTCTTGTATTCTTCATTTTGGATTTAAAAAGTTGATTTAACTGACTGTAGCCAACGCCTGCGTTTTGAATTTGCATTAGAGTCTTATTAACTATATTTATTTTAAAAACTGCAATCCCATATTTAGTTAGTTATTATTAGCGTGTAAAACACCGTATATCTATGAAAAGTCAACTTCTTCTAGGTAAAAAAATCTTTTCAATGCCCGAAAATCTATTTTTGCACAGGGTACATTATTAATGTTGCGTAGGCTTATTACAAATTGATTTAACATTCGCACTATTTTCGTCTCATTTGAACGCACGTATTATCGATGTTTATAGAAACACATTTGATAGTATAGTGATCTCAGTAAATAAGTTTATTTGAAAACTTCTGACGTTTCCGAAAAATTAATTTTGCATTTTTAAGGGTTCAAAAAAAAGAAATATAAAACCGTTACAAAAAACTTTTGGTGTCAACGAGTGTTTATTAAGAAGAAATAAATGTATACCACTTATACTATAAAATACCTGGAAAACTAAATAAACACTATATTGTATCACGGTAAGTACAATACAGAGTATGTAGGCTCTGATTTTAGGCAATTTTTTCTCCAATATTTTTTGTTGAACTTATCCTTACCCGATCATTCGGATAAAAAGATTAAGAAAAAAAATTAGGCTTATCCCCACATAACCTTGGGGATCACTCAGTCCCCACCTATTTTACCTTAGCTGAATGTAGAAATTCTCACTCTTTCAGAATTCAGGCTCAAAAATAGGGGTCCTCATTTAGAAAAACCAAGCTGACCTTTAAATAATTTTGAAGGTCACGCTCAAAATCACATTCAAGGTCACCAATGCATTCCTCGTAGAAAGTTACTTCAAGACTGACCTTGACCATTTCGAAAAATTACTTTGTCTAGAAAATATTCGGGTTTTTTGGACCTTTTGGACACTCTGTATATGTAACGCTATTCAGATGCACCATCACATTAAATTTTTTGTGAATAGGTTAAAAATCTTGTTTGCTTTCTATACGTATATGATTTAATGTATTTTTACGTGCATAAATATGTAACATCTTCCAAATACGGATTTTTTCTAAAATATTATTTTACTAAAATTTATTTTGCGTTCCATTTCTTTTATATGGAAATAAAGTGCAGATTTATATGATTTATTCCTTCTATGTTCAGCTATTCTTATTTTTAATCTTCTCTTCGTCATTCTAATATTCTAACTTTTGTATTGTTTACAATTAATTTTATATCTAATTTACTTTGTACATTTTGTTGTAAACTGTCTTTTCCCGATTTTTTTCACACATAAATCAATAAACTTTTCTGGATGATTGTTTTTCATTAAATAATCTTTGATGATATTCATGTTCGAATCGTGAAATCTTTGATTTGATAACAATGTAGTTTTATCCATCAAACAGGTGACAATTTGCATTTTGGTAGACAGAGAATGGTGGGAGAAATAATTAAGATATCTTTCAGCATCAGTTCTCTGTACCAGTTAATCGTAACAGAGCCATCAATCTCTCTCTGTAACTATAAATTCAAAAACAGAACTTTGCGATTATTTTCTCTTTCAATAGTGAATTATGATTCTTTATTAAATTTGTTAAAATGGTTAAAAACAAAATTAATAGTATTTTTTTATAACAATTAAAATATTATCAATGCAATATTTCCGTGGGAAAATCGAATTTTGTAATGTATTCGATGCATTAGTTTCCAAAGCTCCTAAAGTAAGTTCCAATAGCCAAGAGCTAGGGTTTCATTAGAGCTCCTTTGATTTGTTTATAAAATTTACTTACCATTAACTGGTGATATGTTTCATTGAATATCAACTTAATTCCATTCAGACTTAACTCTGGAAAGGGCAACACGATATTTCATACAATGCCATTTTTTCGCAATAACTTGCAACATAAGATCTTTAGGTAAATTAAAAAAGGATGATACAACGTCAAATAACAGCAGCAACCATCTGAAATAATTTCTTTTAGTCGTCTCAATTCAGAGCTATTTAAAATACGTGATTTCGGTTTCGAAACGTATAGATTTAGTAATTTTGTTATCCATTTGTGTTCGGGAAATATTACTCGTATTAACGTATTTCCTGGTTACATTGAATTCTATAGGAACTCAATCAAACACACTATGCGTTTACTCTATTCTAATATTGTTTGAATCATATATTTGTTTTTGTAGTTTGTGCGAATGAGGATTTATCAAATTTTAAATATAAATTTGTAATATTTAATAATAACGCATATGCACGAGTAACTATAAAAAGTCTTTATTTTTCTTTAAAAAGTTTTGGCTTTTTCCTAAATTATTCCTATAACAGCCTACACGGTAGAAATCAACTTAAATTCTTTTGGTCATTTTCAAACTTTCGTCGATCAGCTTAACAAAAGCCGCGCTAATGGCGAAATTGGTAGCGTAAAATTAACCGACGTCGTCTATGTTTGTCGCATCGAATGGCGGCAGATGAGTAGTGCTGCCAAGAGTGCCATCGATTCCAAGCACTTGTGCCTGCTCCAAAATCTCGAAGAAAGCGTTGAAATGATACGGCGAGTAGTTGTCACTGCGAGGGATAGAAAAAAATCGAATCCTCGGATGGGTCGATATCCTAGCTCTAGGAATTGACTTTTACTTTAATCGAATTTATTCTGATCTTCTTATTAATTATAGCGATCGTGTAAAGTATAATGATTGATGGAGCTGTAAATTTTAGAATTCTCACTTAACCACAGCTTCAACTTTCGGTACTAATGTATATCAAATTAAATCACTTGAAACGCCTTCCTCACAAGTGTCATTATTTCAAAAGTCAATCGTTATTAATAAAAATTTCACGACATCACTGCTTTTGATAATATAAACGGAATCTCACGAAATGGTGCTGAAGCTAATCGTTGCATTGTCCATGAGCAATCACTCGGGTATTAATTATTATTCACTCATGATAGCGCTATTTACTCAAGAGCACTTTAGAAATTCAATGATAATGGATTTAGATAACTAATGGGATTTCCCGGGTAAAGCCTTTCGACATGGTAAACAATTTATAATGATTGAATTAACTGCTTATGAGTATCTGGTTTTTATACGCCGAAACTTGGCTAAAGTCACGGGCAAAGATTATCATAAAATACATTTCATAAAAATAAGATAGTAAGGCATATCAAATGAAACTGAAACGGTGAATCCCAGCTTATCCAAGCTGCGCCATCATCTCTCCGACTTGTTATTATAAATATTTTACTTGATTTATTACTTTTCTTTATCCCTAACGTATAAAATACATATGTGTGAGCAAATGATGCTCTTTAATTTTCAGAATAGCTACCTTTTTCAACAGTAAGTCTAGAACAATATTTTTGTACAAATAACTGTTCAGTTTTAATTAATTTTGGCTCAATTGTGAACTTTGATTACTGAGGCATGTTCTTTGACATTGTTGCAATTTCGTACCGTGAAATTAGTTGGTATTGTATGATTTGGCATAAAGCTATTTGTAAACATCGTTCCAAGGAAAATAAGAGAGAGAGAGAGAGAGAGAGAGAGAGAGAGAGAGAGAGAGAGAGAGAGAGAACATAAATAAAATAAATTAATCAGTTTAACAGAGTATATAAGACAAGTGAAAAAACATAAACAATACGTGAACAACGATCAGATAAGCATAACAAACTTGAGTAACATAAGAGTGCATAAACATATATAGTGTAAATTGACAAGGAGTTGAATACGATTATAAATAAAATAAGAGACTTAAATAAATGTAGTGAATATAACAGGCATAGCGCATGCAGTTAATATGTTAACAAAGAACAAGGAAACGTTCCTAACCCTCCGCCCCCGATTTTGCTGCAATTTAGATATGTTATAGCTTATTGAAAAATAAAAGATACAAAAGATACATTTTTTTTATTGGCAGAAAAAATTTTATAAGGCGTGAAAACCACCCTTCAAAATCACTACTTAGAGTAGTTTTCTATCAATATTTTTGGTTTCAATTCATATTTTTCAATGAAATAAAATGGAAAAAATTTGCTTAGAAAAAAGTAACTGACTTCCATTTTGTTTCATTGAAAAATAATAATTGAACAAAAATATTGATAGAAAACTGCTCTAAGGGGTGATTTTCGAGGATGGTTTTCACCCCTTAGAAAGCTTTTTCCGCCGATAAAAAAACACGTATCTTTTATTTTTCAATTCGCTATAACATATCCAAATTGCAGCGAAATCGGAGGCGGAGGATTGGGAATGTTCTTCTGTAAGTGACTAAATTAAAGATAGACAGACGCAAAATAATGGAAAGGCACACAGGCACATGTAACATAGTAAATAAAAAGTTAAAGGTTACGGGCGATGAGTTGGCAACAGGGCTTGATCGTGGATGTTGAGCGGGCAATTAGTGCTTACCCTTGATATGCATAAAGTGTATATTATCCTTGCTACTGGTAAAGGAGTACCGTAAGTAACGCCCGGGAGCACTCAGGAATAAATTTGAGTATAATCGGTATAGATCATGTGTTTTCATAAAGAAGGGAGCTTGGACGGTTTCCATATTGTCAATGGGAGTCAGACGGGCCGAGTAACCTGTTAATTTGAGCGTAAAAATATTTAATGATTCTTTATTTTGGATGAACTTGATAGCGGAATAGCGAGGTTTCTCTTGAACGCGAGTATGAGACAAAGAGATCTTCGAAGAGAACAGCCTCTTGGCGAGGGTTGCCGCACTAGGTTAGCCATTGCAAATCTGGTCAGCAGCGTGGGCGGTATTTTGTCACTTTCCAGGCGATGAGGATATATTGTAGCCGTAATATTGTATTTACGATAGTGCAAATGAATATAGTGTGAATGCGGAAATAGTAAATTAATACAAATGCGGGAAAGTAGATTTTTGTCTCGTGTGATGTTTACGCCCAAGCGAAATAAGGGTGAAAAGACACACGAAACTCTTTCCCGAACGTGTGTCGTACCGTATTTTTTGATACGACGTGTGGAAAGTGCGATTTTCAACACATGTTTTCTGCCGAGCGCGCGGGAAAGACGCACTTTGCGCACGGAGTGGCGAAAAATATTTGTAGTACACCGTTTGAGATGTTAACAGTGCCAGGAGCTTTGTTATTTTTGAGGTATTTGATGGCCTTAGTTACCTCTGTAAGAGACGTTGACTGGATTTCGCAGTTGGAAGGGTTGAACTTTTTGACTGAATTGGTAACTGGGGTGTGGAAATCAGCATGATAGAACGTATGGAAAATATGGAAATTAGGAACATTGTTCACTAACGGACTCTGCGAAATTATTAACTTTGTCTGCATATCGGCAAAGAACGAGATATCCTTGTTCATGAGCGGAGAGATTTGGGGTTATTTTTCACTTCGGAGATGTATCGATCGAATTGTGAGTCGTGAACGGATTGAAGGGCATCGTTGACGTCGCGTTTGAGGACATTATGCTTGGAGCGAAGAAAGCTGACGTTACCGATGTATTGCAGGTGTCTGCGTAAGCAGTTCTTGTTGGGGGTGAGAGCTCGAACCTCAGGAAAAAAGCGGAAGTGGTCAGTTCCATTGTCTCTTTGATTTCGTGCGTGAGAGCATATACCGCATTATCAATATCTCGAGAATTTAGCAGATGCTAATATTTAAAAAAGTATTTTTTAGGTGAAATAGAAAGGCCAAACAGTGTAGTGTAGCTAACTTCAGAAAGGGGCCTAAGATTCCAGATATAGATTCATAGTCTCAAAGTCTCGCTTTACCAACTCTTTCGCCGCTGTTATTTTCACTGAGAATGTAATCGCCGTCATTTACGATATCTTCGGCGAACTTATAGTTTCCTTTGATTTTAGTTCATTCCAAATAGTTGATGATGTACACGATCCTAGAATTTACATCTAAACTGATCACTTTATTCCTTTTCACGGTTTCAATGACGCCAGCAATATTGTCAAGTACATCGATAGCATTAGATCCACTGAATTTAATTACGTAAACTTTTGATAGCTACTTAAATTGTTACTGTAACGTTAAATATACTTATGTCGTTAATTTACAATAATTTTTTTTTCTGAGATCAAACATGCTTTTTCAGTATATTTATTGTGCTATACGTTGTGTTATTAAAACAATAAGATCTTATTTATTTAATAATAATATTAACAAATAGAACGATCATGAAAAGATTTTGAGTTATAAATATAGCTGCTGTCCAACGAAGAAATCCACACTAGTCTCTCCAAAGCAATTGCGAAAAGTGGTAAAGTATCAAAAAGAACTGGATTAGTTGCATCTGTGTAATGTACTTTTTCCACCATGATTTAGCTATCTTCAACGACTCTGCAGAAGATTTCATTTATCTACTTTATTCGAGCATCTATAGGATATGTCAATTTTTTCTACATGTGCAGAAGACTATGAGATAGTCTATTTTAATACTGTACCGTATCAGGGATGCATTTTTAATGGATATATTAACAAATACGTGATAATTATTATACGTACATCTTATTTTGAAATGTAGAACCTACATTTTGTTTTTTTCAAAGTTGTCATGTAATTTAGCAATTGCAATAAAAGATTGTTTTTTTTTTCGAGATGTTCGTGATGCTTCATATTTAAAGTAAATATAGATTCTTTCTTGAAAAATAAATTTTCTGAAAAAAGGTTTAAAAAAAGAAAATTTATTAAAAAAACTTTTTTATTTAAAAAATATTTATTTAAAAAATTCACTTAAAATTTAGCAATCGATCACAGTGAACAATGACAGAGTTACGATAATTTAAAAGTATTCTGGTAATTATGATAATATTGCACAGTTGTGATGTACTCCGAAGGTGAACATTGCCAATTCAACGGGAAAAAATTGCAGAGAAATATATATATAAGTAATACAATTTATTTCTACATTTGTGTTTCTTCGTATGTGATTCATAGCCAATCCTTTTTGATCATGTCACTACCTTTCTCACCAATCATGATTGTCGGTGCATTGGTGTTACCGGCGACTACTTGGGGCATGATAGACGCATCTATCACCCTCAGTCGTCGGATACCGTGAACTTTCAATTGCGGACTGACCACTGCACTAGCGTCACTCGCAAGTCCCATCTTACAAGTTCCTGCTCCGTGGCTATGGCTCCGTACATTATTTTTAATAAAACAGCGAATGTAGTCATCACTCCGAGTATCGAAATTTTCGCAGCCAGCAGTTGGAGCTTTAGGTAATTCCAAACCTGCATTTCTTAAAGTGGTAGTGTTTGCAAGTTTACGCGCAAACTTCAAACCTTCGACTAGCACTTCAATATCTTGCGGATCAGAAAGACTATTTAGTCTGATATCTGGCTGGACTCTAAGTGGGTCGAGGCTGTTGAGCTTAATGAAGCCGCTGCTTCTAGGTGCCACGAGAGTCGTAAAGATGGTTATATTTCCAAGAGATTGGTCAATGGTTCCGCCCGATAGACCGTAATGAATGTCAACGGCTCCTGGACGTTTCTCAAATTCACTTTGGTAAAACGCTTTAATATTTATGCTTCCTCTTGCCGACATTGGACCCTCGTGAGTATTGAGCCATTTGAAAAGATTACTCTTTACCATTTCATCACTCATTGGGACTTCACTGTTCGACGAAAGTAGTGTCATTGGCACCATGAAGTGATCGCGAAGATTGCGACCTACAGGCAAATCCTTCACCACTGTTATGTTTAGCTGCTGTAAATCCTTTTTAGGACCAATGCCGGATAACATTAGTAGTCTCGGCGACTCTATGAAACCAGCTGAGACAACAACTTCTTTTTTGGCAAAAGCCTGTTTTGTAACAATCTTATTTTTCATGCCGATTTCATACTCAATTCCGGTTGCGCATTTCGACTCAAGATCTATCATGATCCTTGTCACACGAGCATTCGGTCTTACAACCAGATTTGGTCGTTGCCCTCGAATGGGTCTAACGAAGGCACCATTGGAACTTAGTCGAGTTCCATGAACATTGGTGAACTGCATTCGAGCTACACCGCGTTGATCACCTTTGTTATAGTCTGTTTCATTCAGGCTTATTTCATTAAATGCTCTCAACAAAATCGGCGTATTTTTATCTTCTTCCGGTAATTCCTCCACAGTTAAATACCCGCCAGTACCATGGTAACGGGAATAATTGGCGAGAATCTACGAAATGATGTACGCACGCATGCACGCAAAGAATTTATATGAGATGGAACTTTATGTAGTGAAATAACTTATGAAATTATTATGATCGACTTTTACCTGTGGATCTCTCGCATCCTCTGACTTTATAAAGTAAGGTAACACATCGTCCCAACTCCAGCCGTCGTTTCCCATTCTCGCCCAGTCGTCGTAGTCGACCTTGTTGCCTCGCGCATAGACCATACCGTTGATAGTGCTAGAGCCACCCATAACTTTGCCCCGCGAATAAATTTCAGCTTTCGTATCATTTGTTCGATAAGCATAATCAATATTAGAATTCCATAAAATTGGGTAGAGCCTTGGCACCTCAGCCACAAGCGGTTCTTCATCACCAGCTTCCAGCAGCAATATCTGCAAATTTATGCATTTGCAATATGACAATTGTTAGAATATAAAATAAATTTATGTTGGGCTCAGCAGTACAATGCACTCCATAGAATGCATTGCTTAGCAGTACGATGCACTCTTTGAAATTTTGATGAGTGCTGAGTTGTGTAATTACAATTCAGCGATTATCGGATATAAAAGCTCCGAAGTCAAGCGTCTAATTTTAGGTTGTATGTCTGTAACGCCACTCGTCAAATATATTAAATACTTATAAGAATTAATAATCTCTTATTACTCATACTTATCTCAATAACAATATTAGTCAAAGTCGAATATTAGTTACCTTCCAATGAAATTCCTCGCTTAGCCGATTGGCAACAACACAGCCGGCACTCCCAGCTCCCACAATAATGAAATCATAGTCGACTTCATTTGTACAATGATCATTATTGATTTTCGTCAGCATACTGTCGTGTGATTCTCCAAAATATTGCACGAGAAAGCACAATAGCGACAGCGTTTTCGAATTTTGCGTACAATTACTATCATAATTAGCAGGTACCCAAGTCATTTCTATTTTTATAAATAGTCCTGATTCTAGATTAGATTTTATTCTCCGTCAGCAGGCTCTCCTTCACGTGAGGTCTTTTGCAAACTGTCTGCTGACGACATGACAACGGTATAATAAAACATACTCTTATGGAAACACTCGATTCAAGAAAAAAACTTTATTCGCTTATCTCTGCTTGAGTGGTGATAGCTATTATCAGCTGGACAATTCGACAATTAGGGTGCACATATGCATATCGTGGCCAATCAGCATTTTCAGGCGTTTGCTGAATGCTCGGACATTGAACAAATCATCGACAAATGGTAACGTAAAACTTACGTAATGAATGTTCATCTATTTTTGTTTGATTCGATCAGTCACGTTGGTTAATTCTCAGGCGCTGTTAAGCAAAAGGCCTAAGAAAAATCTCCCGGGCAATAGAAATGTCACTTGCACGTCGATTTCGATGCTATTTTGAAAGTTGCTTAAAAACTAAAGTGATACGATATGTACTTTTACATTCATGATAAGTGTGGTTAATTAGATTTAGGTACTGAAGACGTGCTTTGTGTATAAGAAGACAAATTTTTGCTAACAATCAGAAAGACTATTGTTAGCGACAAGCAATTAGTGTAAAAAATGATTAATGTTTTTAAAGATAAATTTCCACCATTAGTAGTTCGTGATTATATCACATTATCAGTTTCTACAGCAGATCAGAAGTCCATGGGCCTAAATTCTATTTTTGGCGTGATTATGAAAATTCGTGAGGCTGTTATTCAAGTAAGAATGAAAAATGGCATTACATTTCTACAATTGATGATGTTTGTAATGACATTTTATTAAGATTAAGGGAGGCGGCATTGGAGTAAGCATTAAATGGTTGCCAAAGTTATAAAAAATACAATTACAAACTAGTAGGGAATCAATATAGAACAAATCAATACTTCAAAGTAAAATATTGACTAATTCACGCTACCACTAATCTTTAACTTGCTGTAATAAATAAAATGTTCCGTACGACCGAGTATAGTTTAATCGTGGTTTGCTTGCAATGAAATCAAGATGCTTGTGTCAAAATCGAAACTCGTGCCGACGATGACGTGTGCCTGAATGTCTTAATTTTCATAGTGTGTTTCTATTTCAAATTTTCTCTCTTTGTCCCATGATTCATAGCCGATATACAATACAACTTGTATACATATACAAAATCCGATAAAGCCTTCGCTCTCGAATTTACGACCGTACAATCAAGTGTCGACGAGCCGACACTCGAAAAATTCTTCGGAGAAGAACAACAAATTGCAACGAAACGTACACGATTATGCCATTTTTAATATTTGTCTCTGCGTTTTATTAGATTAAGTTTGGCTTGTAAAATGGCAGGCTTTTTCCTCTCAGACGGCGAGATTTTTTATGCCGGCCATTTATTTAAGTTTTGTTTCATTTTAAACCGTTTCACGTTTTCTCTGCGATTATATAATTTGTGACCTTCGTAGTATTAATCACCTAGATATAAGCTGAACGAGCGAGCGCAATCATAATTTTATTGGCGAAAATTATTGTAAACCGAGCGATTGCAACTATGCAGAATGATGCTAGCCGACGCGAGTTGAATTATAATAAACATAGAGTAAAATTTGATCGAAAGGAAAACCGTACAATTGCCACGTGTCAGTTTAAACAAAAAATACAAAAAGCTACTGCCACCTGCTCTCAAGCTCGCAATTCGAATCGCATACACATCCATAGATCGGATGGGAGCCATGCATACCGCAATATATGCAACCTCGAACATTTATCGTGCAAAGGCACACCACCTTCGAATATTTATCGTGCAAAGGCACATCATTGCTGAATGTTTACCGTGCAAAGGCACACTCTCATTTAAGCATTTTTAACGTGCAACATTACACCATTGTTTGAACGTTTTGAAAGGCCGTGCAAAGGCACACGATCAATTGATAGAGCGAGCAGTATGGCGTGCTTAGCTACGCGTATAATCTAAATGATAAGCTAAAAACGAAAACTGACGCCTTCCATCTCTAGATCCCTTTGAGGGGAAGAAAAGGATGGAGGAGAGTAATGCTTTGGTTGCTCGGCTCGTTCGGCAGGCATCATTCAAGTATGGTCAGAAAGCTCTTAACTATCAGCGAGGCAAGTTGTCATTTCGTTATTAACTCGATTCACGCGTAACTTGTAATTTCCGATCGTCTAAAGATATTATTTATTTTACAATTTGATTTCATTTTGTTTATTTATAATTAATAAATATTAATAATTTTATTTGTCATAATAATAAATTAGATTTAATTTTGTAATAATTGTTTTTATTCACACTACTCTTATCGTGAACATAAAATATGTGCGTAATTTAGCTATACTTGTGTAATCCATGAGTAATGTGCAAATAATTAACTCAAATGAATAACAGTATAATTTACGGAAGAACATTTTTATTTGCGATTGAAGATCAAAATTAATATTCAAAATTTATTTACTAAAAACAACGTATGTTCTGCGTTAGTGCCGTAACTTAGTATTCTGATTGTAAACTAGTTTTGAAATAGGAGTCGAAATCAATGTCAAGAGAGATTTTTATTTGCAGGAAATTGAGCAAAATGACTGATCGAACCAGACAAATAGATAAATGGTCGATTTTTATGTGCGCGTTACGCTATTTGCCAAAATTTTGTTTAATATCCGGGCACTCGGCAGAATGCCTAAAAAAGTTTGTTGCTATAACATATTTAAGCATGAGAACAATTCGCAGACCTTGATTCGGCTTTTCAGCTTGTGTGCGAAACTTCAATTTAGTTACGTTATATTTTATTTTAGGTACACCTCCATCGATCAACCATTTCAAAAACGGATAGTTTTTGGTGAACAAAATTATACATAAAATCTCGTTGTGTAATTTTATTGACATTCGGTATAATTGCCACTTGTGAGGCAGTACAGTTAAATATTAAAACTAGCTTCATTAGCTCTGTTAGGTTTGTTAGTAGCACTTATTTTCTATTGAAACAATAATAGAACATTTTTTTTAAACATCAAAATTATTTATTAATAATAACACAGAACTTCGCATAGCTACCGGCGTAAGACTTTAAACATTTTTGTTCAAGTTCGCATCAAAGGTTGCCTGGTATTACTTTGTCATGATTAAAATGTTATCCTAATTCAGCTCTTTATTCAATGGTCCATAAAAAATAAACATCGTAATGCGTGTACTGTAAATCTATATTCATCTGTATTGACATCAATTCTGAATTATGTTGCAACGTATTTACAATCAGCTACAGGCGATCTATTTGATTGAAATGGCATAAAACTTATAAAAAAATTGCTTTTGCTCAATTTTACTTCGTTATCTATATTATGAAGAGTAATTTATATACAATATTCATAGATCGAATGTCGATCCAATTTATCAATTTGATGTAATACATTTTTTTATTTCAGCTAATTTTACTGTCGACTTGTAAATGGCACGATGTTAACATTTGTCGAATTTTCCGAATAAAATTTGTATTTTAAAAATAAATATTGTCACGTCATATTCATAATTTTGTACGTAACGCGTGCAGTTATATTACAATGATATAAAATGAAACAGACAGTCCTTTTTAATAAGTTTCATAACTATAATTGTTTATTGTGTTATAAAAAAACTTTTAGTAGCAATTAAATGGAATACTTTGCGTGTATTTTTGACTAAATATTTTAGCAACGGCTCTTTGCCAAAGTTTGGACTGCGCTCGTTGATCTTTGCGCAATTTATTTGTTTTATCGAGCATAGCTAAAACGGCGGTTGTTATTAGTAACGCGACAAATGCAAACGTAGAATAAGATAAATGATAAATCGAATATAGCGAATAAGTTAACAGTAATAAAGAAAAGATATAACAATTGTATACAAATTTACACTATTCGATAAAATAAAAATACTAAAGTGTATAAACGTTTAGAGTTTCTTCGGGCTGATGGTCTTAATTTTATGCTTTCTTAGGACCACATTACTTTTATTCGATATTATTTACTTGATAGTTGTACTTATGATTAGGATTATGTTTGGCAAAAAGTTGTAGAAGACGATTGGACGTCGGCAAGCATATTATTTTTAGGTTGAAACTGAACAAGTATTACCAAATACGTAGTTATAGTGCCGATAATCTATAATACACCAGTACTTGATGAATAACATTGGTATACGAGAATTTATGTCACATCTGCAGATACTGACCTTTATCAATAAGGAGTTATCCAATGGACATAAATTATAAATAGATATTTTTATGCTGCTATTCAACAAATAGATGGAAAACCGCGTTAACTAGAGAGGAACGTTATCGTAACATATTCAATAAATAATTTAATTATAAAGTAAAATACATCGCAGAATCTTGTTATGTTCACCTTGTTTAGAACTTCCTTCTGATAGTGTTTTCTTTTCAAGTGGCTATTAACTATTCTGCGTATTCTCTGATCCTGAATAAGCAATGCTTAATAATTATCTGACATGAATAACGAATTTAATGGATTACTAGAAACGGTATTCTATTATATTGTTATTATAATAGAATTTATAATTTATAATTTGTAATTTGTAGTGACATTTTATTAAAATTAAGGGAGGCGGCATCGAAGTAAGTATTAAATGGTGGTAATAAATTAATATTAAATCTATGCTATCTATATTATTTACGTTACGTACCTGATCAATGATATTAGTGACAGACGTTGTTAATAACAGCAGAATGTAGAGATGTACTATTAATTCGTATAAAGTGAAAAAATCGAGAGAAAAATATCCGGTAAAGTTGGATGAGGTAATCGAATAGATCGACGAGGTCATCGTCAAAAATTGCCAAGATACAGACAATAGTAGCGGAAAAGAATAAAAATCTGACATGTCATTAATTATTTCATTTAATTCTGAGTAAGAATCCCAAAACTGAGACAAGTATTGCTCATAGACAGTTTGGTTAGGATTAATAACCATTAAACTGTGATTAAACGACATACCAGATAAATTTTCATTGACATTTATATAGAGATTTTCAATCAATCTCAAAAGTATACAGTATTGTAATATCACTGTGACTGGCATTAAATACTGCAGAAAGCATACGAACTGTGACTGTGGGGAGCCTATGAAGTAGATAAATGCATAGATGTTGTATACGGACAAGATGGAATAATTAATCAACAATAACATTATTAATTTTTTCTTCATCTTGCATGATTTGATGTTATAACTGCTATTATATATCAGTTCTCGAGCCCTGTTGATTCTGTTTAACAAGGTAATTCCCTTTCTTTGTCGAGTGCAAAAAAATAAGACGATGGACACATTAACAATAACCAAAACGTTATCGGTGAGTGTATAAATTGTAGCATTATATTCAGCCATATCTAAAGATATATAGTCGGTGATCACGTAATTCCATACGATTGTACAAAAGCCTAAAAGCAAATTGTACGCAATACTTATCCTGTTATACGAAAATACCCAACGTTTGGTCTCATTATTAAGCGATTTGATATGAAAGTTCATTGGAGCGATTCCCGATATTTTGAAATAATAAAACAAACATTTCAAAAATAATGATTCCTCGTCAATGAGCGTCTTACTAAACTTCATATTTTCGGTCACTGTAGGATCTTCTAAAAATAATAAATATAAATATATTTTATATTTTATAAGAAATTATACATTTGCATTAAAAGTAATGAAACAGTATGTCAAAGATATATATTTGAACGTTAGACAGGCTACGTAACCGCATAGACTCAAGAAAATGTCATATTTTTAACAATGAAGATCATTTCTTATGGAAATTAGAAAAATTTCGACCTTTATATATTTGTTCGGCCAAAATTTAAAATGCGTATTGAGTGAAATTTTCGAACACATATATACTAATTTCGCAGGAACATGTCAAAGAGAAGTTGTGAGTATAAATAAATTTAACGACTAAATAGTACCAAGACTGCTTACTATAATTCGGGCATAACTATTTAGTCAAGCTGATATTTATAGTGAACCTAATAAAAATGGTATGCAATAGTGGCAGGTATGCTGTACTTTCAATTTGGCTTGGAAGATTATTTAAATGTTACGAGAAATTGTCGATATACACAAGCTTGACAGTTACGCTTGTATTTTGTATTGTGTTTTTTGATTGCTGTGTATCTACAGTTATATACCATTTTTACACGGTACGTATTAAATATTAGTTTGACTAAATAGTTATGCCGCATATATCTAGATTTCCTGATTTAGATACTTCGTAAATACATTCTTAAAATGTCAATTACTTGAAATCTTGACAAGGTGTTAGTCGCGTAAGAACGTATGATGATACCCCCGACTTCTAGTGCTATCAAAACGTAAAGCAAATCTTTCTTTCTTGACTGTAACGAACGATTATCCTGATTCTCACATTAAATCTACGAGTCATCGAATTTTAAAATATGTCACGTGTTTGAATTACAGATTATGTAAAGAAATGGGAGGGTTTCATGACGCTCCACAGAATGGTAAAAATTTCGAGCTTTCGTAAACACATGTCAGTAAAACTTACGGATATGTCAAGAAAATGAACCGAGGTGACGAGAAATATGATGTAATTAAAATGACATTTCTGTGTCAGTATTTCGTATATGCAGGTAAAATTAATAAAACCAATTAATGAAACTTTAATATGCGTATTATAATAAAAATGTAAAAATTGGTTATGTACTTAAGTTACGACTTTTTTTGGATACTTCGGTAAATTTAAAACTAGTTGTATCTAGGAGTACAATAGACTATTTATTTCTTTAAGTGTTGACACACATTCGTAGATACTGAGTGGTACACAATTTTCCATGATATATACGTAATATTGATACATTACCTTTTATTCTCAATTCATTACGATATTATAGATAGATAGGCAAAAATATGCTGTATAGAATATATAAAAATATTGTATTTTTTCATATCTATTAGTAATTCCAGGACGATTATCTGTGTAATAGCTAGAAAAGTAAGCGTGTATATGTATGTTACCGCCAACGGAAGATTGATAGAATACGTAATTTTAAATGAATTTAGCAACTTCGTGAACTAATGAATGCTCCTATCGTGCCTGCACTAAGCGCTCTTTTTCTTAGCATCATGCGAGCTATTGGCTGAACTTTCCACTAATTTAACTATGTAATTAGTACTTCGAAATTACTTGAATTTACGAGAATAGTTATTGCATATGTTGCAAAACTTTGCAAACTGCTTTGATAGAGTGATTCTTAGTAAAGCGAAAAGAGTGAAAAATTATACATTTTTTCAAATACAAAATTTTATTTATGCCAACGAGACATCGATCTTGCATTGTTTTTGAAGAAGATAGAATATACCTGGAGTAATTTCGATTCTGTATTTACTAGTGCTAAAATAAAGAGGAATGTTAGTTTTGTTATCAAAACAGTGCAAATATTTTTTATATAATATAGTATAGTATTTTCGTATAGTATCACGAACTCCGATCTTACGTGATGTGACTACGTAATGTGATAAGAATATTTTAAATTGATTTATTTAATACAATACTTTTACATTGAATGCGAAAAATAAAATACAGTTTTCATAAGAAATAATGTATTATCCGGTATTATACTTTTCTACAAAAAAATTAGCAAATGTCTAATTCGTACAAAATATTCTCCACAACATAATCGTACATTTTATTATTTTTATAATAACAATTAAATATTCAGAATCCTAAACATATAATTCTTTTAACTATTTATTTATTTCTGTAATTGTTAAAATATCTAGCAAGATTATGTAGGTAGTAAAACAGGAATTCAAGTAGTTTGTATAATAAAATTTAATACAGCGATATCATACATTAGATAAATTATTTTTCAGCTGAGGTTTCTATAGAATGTTGATACGTTAAATAGTATTTGTTTCCAATAAATAATGGTTTGTTATCTGTTCATAAAGAAGTATTATATAATAAAGATTCTGTTCATTTAAAGTTATTCATTTTATTTTGCTTATTTAAAAATAAGCACATTTTTTCGTAGGTATCCCGAATAACACAAAAACATTTAAAAACGTTTTAAAAACGTTTTGAAAACTTTTTCGTAAAACATCTCGTTTCCTCATTTTGGTAATAAAACGTTTTTAAAACGTGAGATAAGTCCACCAATTGTTACGTCCCAAGCAAGGCAGACATCAGACGCTGATATGTTGTCGAAGTAGCAGTTAGCGTGTGACTTTTAGTCTTTCTCACGTAAACGGCTAACTGCGCGGTTCCTCGCTTTCGGTAGATTCGGTACGAATCGACCTCCAGACGGAATGTGCGTGTAAGCCGATGCCGTTTCCCGCGGAGAATGGAAGTCGCGTTTAGCTTTCCGTCTAATATGCGATTTTGATAAAAGTACGTCGCGAAGGTGGGAGTGACAGTTCTCTTTTCTCACGCTTTTGCGAGAATGGCCGAATAGAATAAGCAATGGCTCGCGAAGCTGATTGAGCAATTAGCCCATTGGCCGGTGACATTAGTTAGTACGCCAATGGGTGGATCATCGCGGAGCTTTTTCCTCGATTGCAGGAGGACTCGCGACACTCGGCAACTGGGAGTGAAACGGTAACAAGGTGCGCGAAACGTCGAAGTAAAAAGGTGTAAATCGAATAAAGGAAACGATATCTCTTAAAATTCAATTCAGTAAAGTTCAACTTAAACCGAAACTTCCGCTAATACCTCTCGTCTTGTGAAGTGTGGCTGGTTGTGAGCGGTGCTTCTAGGCACATTCCATTTCTTGTCAAACGTCGGACTGCAGATCGACAAATCACAAAGGAAACAACAATCCAAAAGGTAGTGAAGGGTACCCGCTACGACAGTTTCTCTTTTTATTTCTCTTTTTTCGATAAATTTGCCAAGCTTCGCTTACTCTAGACTGATTTTTCAAGTAAATTAAATTAAATATTTGTAAATTCCGGACGTAACACCAATTTAAACATTTTGCAAAGTATGCTAACGTTTGTAAAATATTTTTAAAACGGTTTTTGCAACAAAACTTTTTGGAACCTGAAAATCCAAACGTTTTTCCAACGTTTTCAAAACATATATCATGAATATAGATGTTCAATAATCCTTGTATTTTTTTATCCTAGGAAGGAAAATATTCAAAAAGGTAGCCCTGATGATGAAAGTATGGATAATGTTGCGTTAATCGGAGTACACTTATCATTGATCGTCTAGTGTAATTAGATAGCTCAGGTCTTCATTTTAATGTATTTTAAATACTGCTGAATGATACTTATAAAAAAGGTATTGACTACTGTAAAGATGGTAAGTTTAGTGTAAGGGCATGTGAATTTCAATAATAGATCATTCAGCAGTAGCCGATAAAAATAAAACAGACTATGCTATTCAAATTAATAGTTTATTTCAAGTTATTAGATGGTTTTCTGCTGGATTTCATGCAGTCATATAGCAAGCTTGTCACTTTTACAATATTGAATACCGATCTATATGTACAAGTGTTATTACTGGTTTATAGCTTTAGCTAGGATTATAATCGAAGAGATAGGATTTTGGTCGATCAACCCTCGGGTCAACCCAACGCTACTCATACAAAACGCTTTCAAAATGATTTTGTTTTATTCGTAATAACATAAACTTATAATATAATAATGGATCAAATGATATAAAAACGTTTGGAAAACATTTTATAAACTTTTTGAAAACGTTTTGTGCTATCCGGGATTGGTATCTGTACGAAACGAACTCGACCAAAAATGATAGCTTACCTGTTTTATCGCGATGATCGATTTTGTGTCCTAATTTTTTGAAAATTTCAATAAATTTTATGTAATCATTATCATTTCTCGCTATGAGAAACAACATTATGAATAAGACTCCGATCCATTATATCAAAATAAATGATGTTGAAAACAATACTGAATGCTTGACATAATGTATTATAAATGTGCTTTATTGGCATTATTTTTAGTGACAGTAAAAAAAACACTGACTAAAATGTTTGGTCCTGTCGAGGAAAGTAGTACTTGGATAGGTGTTTCGCCCATAACATTTTCACTTTCGGTTGGAGCTCCAGCCCTGTATACATTAGTAAAATATACATATTGTACTGCAATTAATTAATTGATTAAATATTTTATTTCAGATGTCATATGAAATAAAAGCTATAAACAAAGGAAATGACCTTATTTCATATAACATTTCATTTGCTTTCAAAAAATCGTTGCAGACAATTATTTTATACGTGACATCATTCAGAAACTACTAATTGAGCAATATCGTGATAAAAATTATTTCATGAAAGTATTCTTAGAGGAATAGTCGATTACGTACCTAATAAGACTATGAAAAACATCTTTTTGTGGAAGATTAGACATAGCGGCTACATGAAGCGGAGTATTATCAAATTTATCTTTAATATTGAGATCAGCGCCATGCCGCAGTAATAAGTTGACAGTCTCTTTGTAGGCATGGATCGTTGAATGCCATGACTCATGTCGGGTTGATAAAATAAAAGAAGTAACTGAGCGTACATCAATCTCTCGTTTTCTCAAAAAGAAGGCAATATCTTTAAAGTGCTGCATCGAGGCCAAATGTAGAGGGGTGAGACCGCCGTAGATTTCGCAGAAGTAATCGATGGGCAAATGTATGTCAACGCCGTGCTTCAAAAATTCTGCTACTACTGTTTCTTCTTTATATAAACATGCTATGTGAAAGTGTGATATTCCTTGAACAGTGACAGGATTTTTACTATAATCTTTTTGATTCCTCAGTAGTAGACTTACTAATTCATAGCCTAGAGAACAAACCAAAATAATGAAAACTGCATCACCTTCATAGGTATTGCCAGTATTTGGAAATGATTCGAACGACTATTGACAATAAAACATTATTCTTTTTATTGCTTGAAAATATACTTTTTTCGTAAAAAACAAAATAAACCCATTAACGTGCAAAATCGCATTTTTGCGCACACAATTTCAAACGCCCAATTCACACAGAAAAATATGGTAATTGACTCCTAAAATTTTACATACGAGGTTTTCGAGTGTGCTCTTTCAGAATTATTTTTGTTGTTGTTGCATTAAACTCAATATTCTATCGACAGTATTTGCGGTCCCGATGTTTGAACTTTCTGAAACCGTCCGGACACATTATTTTTTTGCCAGCACTTTTACAAAATGGCGATTTTTTGTGAGTGTTATATAAAACCTTATAATTTTTTTACTCAAAAACTATTAACTTTATAAAAAAAATTGATACTATAAAAATCACTTATAATTACTTAAAGAATACGTGTGAATTTTTTGGATAGGTGTTTCGATCATTTTCGGATTTTTCTATTTTGATCAGATTCTGAAAAAAAATGTTATCTACAAATTTTGAATAAATTTATGAGTTTTTTTGACTGATTCTAAGCACTTTTCATATAATAAAATTTTTCTTTTTAGCTGATTTTTTCAAGTAAAAAAATCCTGAATTCTTTCCCATACTTTCATAGACATTGTTCGAAATCATTTTTTTCAAAAAAAAAACTTGTTTCTTTACATTAACTCAAAAAATGCCACTTGAATTTTTATAAAATGAATTAATAATACTAGTAATGTATAGTTAAATCTTAGTGCGTCGTATATATTATCGGACCTTTATGTAATTTGATTATAGAGAGGTAAGTACATTGATGGGCTATAACTAATATTATCGAACTGCAAAAAATTCTCCGATATCTTACTGTTTCTTTTGATTAGTTTGAAAGGTATAAGTGAAGAATATCACAATATTCAAAAGGAAAAGTGGTATTGAAAGCAGAAGATTTCACCAACGTGAAATTAAAATTACAGAATGTGACGATTATTACGATATCTCTGTATTACTAAATAACGAACATTCTGAAGAATCTAACGATTCTTCTGAATCAGATAGTGATTCTAAGAGTGATAATGCAAGTGATTCTGGAGAAGCAATAAAGCTTGACTTTTTGAAAGCCTTTAGAATAGTTATAGAATCATACATTAATTCTCAAACAAAGTTAGAGCTATTGATAGTGTTTTCCTTTTAGGGTGTTAATAATGATATCGTTAGAAAATTAGGATTCCGTGAAATCAGTTCTTTAGAACAACCAACGCAGATCTTTTTGAGCAATAATTTGTTATTTATTAAAAGATACAAAAACGACAATGTTTCAGAGATTTCATGATCCCCTTTATCTGATCAAAAGTAGAAACTAAAAAAATTTTACAAGCGTAGATAAGTGTAGATTTTACAAGTGTAGTTTCTACTTTTGACCTGATGAGTTTTCCTGAAACATTGTCATTTTTATATCTTTCAATGAACAAAAAATTATTGTTCTAAAGAATTTGTTCCACGGAATTCTAATTTTTTTATAAAGAAATCACATTTATCACTGGGTTATTGAGTTATTATAAAGGCGAAAGAGAGTACAATACATGTTTAGAAAATGAAATATTATTAAAAGAATATGATGGCAAAAAATTATTAAATAGTTCTTCAACATAGATTTTTGGCTTTTATGTCATTTAAGTTAAAAAATATATCATTGATTGTACAAAAGCGCATGGTTATGACTTTTTTTTGGAAGATTAATAAGTTTATTAAAATCATAATTTTTAGTTGCTTCATTAAGAAATTATCTCAGAGATTATTATTGCTCAAGAAATTATTTTTTGAGATCGGATCTAGTGACACCATGTATGGGCCGGAAATTATCCAATTTAAATAAAACTAGATAATCCCGATGATTAAAATAAAGACAAAGTTTGGCGGATGAAGACATCTATAAATATTATGAGGGAAAATATGCAATTTAGGGTTTTCTCGACAGCGTTGTCAATAGATGAAATGATGATAAAATACCATGAGCGATGTTCTTTAAACAATACGTCAAATTGATTTTTATTCAATTTAGATTTTTATTCAATTTAGATTTTTATTCAATTTAGATATATACTTTGGAAAAATGGCAAAAGTAATATTTTACTTAAAATTTCTCTTGGTAGTTGCGATGCAATTCAAACCTTGAAACAATTTTTATCTTGTACCACGGCACGTAATGTACAAAAATATTTATATATAAAATATTTATGTTTTTGTATATTATTATCAATTATATTTTGATACAATACTGCAATGAAAGATAAACGTAAAAAAATAGAAACAAAAAGTATTATTATAGTTGTTGCTAAGAGTTATTCTGAAGTTGTTCTGAAAGAATTAGAAAAATTTGCAAAGAGTGTAAATTATATTTCTTCAAAAATTGTTTTGAATCAGAACATTTAGAAGAATCGTACTTGAAGAATAAATTGCAAAATATCTGCAAATAAAAAAAATATATAAAAAAATTAAACTAAAAAAATATTTTTTTCTACACATCTCAATTAATTAATTCGTTTGAATTGATAAGCAAATTTTTATTTTTCAGAATATGTTATAAATAAGAAAAATCCGAAAATGTTCGAAATAACTCTAAAAAAAATTTAGACGTATATTTTAAGTAACTGTAAGTAATTTTTTTAGTATTAATTTATGTTGTATAGTTGACACTTTTCTAGTAAAAAAATTATGAAATTTCATATAACACTCATAAAAACACGCCATTTTGTAAAAGTGCTGTAAAAAACAATGTCTGGACGATTTCAGAAATTTAAAATATTGGGACCGCGATTTCTGACGATAGAATATTGGTTTAAATACAACAGAAAAATAATTAAAAACAAATACAAGGACTCTTAAAAAATAAGTCTTTTTTTATTAAAATGTAAAATTAATAATGCTATTGACATTTTAATGTAAAACTGATACCCGATTCTGAAAAAGCACATTTGAAAATCTCGTATGTGGAATTTTAGGAGGCAGTTATCATATTTTTCTGTATGAATTATGCGTTTGAAACTGTGTGCATAAAATGCGATTCTGCACCTTAATGAGTTAAACTCGATAAGGTTTCATGAAAAATCTTTCAATAAAAATGTTTACAGTACACAATAATAAGTCCAAAGATTACCTTGTGCGACAAAGCAATCGAAGAGCTCGTGAACTGGAGTCTTTTGTTCAGCACTAGCTATTGTGACGTCAGTCCCGTGGTTTATTAACATATAAATCATTTCAGAAATATGACTTATGTTGTTTTTGAATTTGATGATCAGCACATGAAGTGGTGTACAACCTGGAAAAATCGGCGAAGTCTGGTACGCACGTGCATTGACGTCCAGACCTTGGTCACATAAATCTTCGATTAAGTCCATGTTACTGCAGGCGCAAGCAACGTGCAGCATCGTCAAGCCCGACTCGTATAACAGACTTTCCTGCAGCAACGGGTCGCGTAGAAGTGCTTTGACGAAGCAGTCCATTAACTCGGAGTCATTGGATTCGCATTTTAGAATGCTGTAGAGTGGCGCTAATCCGTTAGGATGTCTAGCAAGAATGTCAGCACCATGCTCCACCAGAGTAATCGCGATGGAACTTTTACTCTCTATGGCCAGGTGCAATGAGTTGTAGCCGTCGTAGCGTTTCAGAAAGGCCATGGAGTCGATCGAGCCCTTGGCCTGGACATTGCGCGGCCTGCAAGCGATGGTGGCGTTGACATCACATCCGCGGTCGAGCAGCTTTTTCACAACGAACAAGCAGTCCCAGTAGGTGGCGACATGCAGGTAAGTTAAGCCGCAGTCGGCTAACGGGCTCAAGCCGATGTCCACGCACCACATCTTGTAGAACGCGAGCAGGACCGAGACGAGATCCTCGTCCTGCCGGTTAACACCGAGTAGTCGGTGCACCGGGGTCAAGCCGTTATCGTCCTGGAGCCCGTAGTCGGCGTCGAAATCCAGCAGAGCCCTGACCATCTGGCCGCAACCCCTGGCCATGGCGATATGCAGGGGCGTAGAGCCGCTGGCGAAGATGTGGTCCTCACCCCTGCCCAATTTGACGTCCTGGTCGAGCCGGCTGGCGCAGTCAGCGCCATTCGTTTGTCGCAGCAACTCCGTTACGAATTTCGCGTCCCCATACAGGCAGCCGAGTAGCAAGCGCGACATGCCGGGGTCGGCTTGAAAACACGGCTGGGTATGCAGCAGGTAAGTAATCAGGTAGTGCTTGCCCAGGCGGAAGGCCAGCTGCAGCGGACTCAAGCCGCGGGCGTCCGGCGCATATATGTCGGCGCCGTGTCTCAGGCAGTGCTCGATCCATAAGGGACCATTCGGGCTTAACCAACAGTTGATGTTCGGTAAGTCAATGCTCGTACGTATGTCCGGGACGTTGTCCTCGTTCGCGGCGAATAGCACGCACAGGTGCAGCACGCCACAACCGGGCCAGAGCGGCGAGTCGAGCGGGAGGTGCACGTCGATATCGACATGTTCCAAGAAGGATAGCAGGCTTAAACATAAGCGTGTCGACAGGACGAATTTCTGCAGGCTGGTGACGCCGTCGCTGAAGCTGATGTTCGCCCAGTCCGGCCGGCTAGACAGGAGCATGGGCATGCTGTCGCTCACGTCGTCCCGGGTCATGCAGATGTCGAGGGCCGAGCGGCCCGTGGCGTCCTCGCGTGTCGGATCGGCCCCGGCGTCCAACAGTAGCTTTATCGTACGCGTGTTGAAGTGCGCCGCGAAGTGCAGCGGCCGGTAGCCCGGAAAGATCGGCGAGCGGACGTCAACGGCCTGTTCGGGGTCATAATCGAGCCGCAGTAGCTCCTCCACCGTCGAGCTGTCGGATAGCGTGCAGGCTGCGTGCAGCGCGTTGAAACCCAGGCTGCCGGTGTCGTCGAAACCCGGAGGGCCGAGTATCGCGGCAATCACCTTCTCGTTGGCCTCCAACTCCTTCTTGAACAGTTTGTCTAATGTGTGGTTGCCACTTTGCAGCCATTCGGCGATATCGATGTTTCGCTTGACCACTAATTGCAGCGGGTTCGTGCCGCTGGCGTCCTTCAAGCTCGTGTCGGCGCCATAATTCAGCAAGATCAAAACCACTTCATAGGCATAGTATCGCACCGCAAATTGCAGAGCTGAATAGCCCGGCAGAGAAGGCGAGTCCATATCCACGGTTTCGTTTACGGACACGTCGTTCTCCAAAAAGAATTTGACAGCCGCTGTATGATTGACCATGCAGGCGATGTGAAAATGAGTTAAGCCGTGTTTATTGCTGGGGTTGCTCCAGTTGCGGCTGTTCACCTGAGCAGTCAGTCCTGAATCTATAAACGGGTGGATAATTTTTCCCCAGATTATATCACAAGGCTTTTGAGACTTGTTGCTCTGACGGAAAGCTTGGTGTAAAACCGTTTCACCGTTACTGTTTTTCAAGGTGAAATCTGCGCCTTGATCTATTAAAAAGTTGAAAATCTTCTGCTCATGTTCCATTAATGCTAAGTGGAGTAGCGAGTTGCCGATTAAGTGTGGTTTTTCTTGCCTGAAGTATGGTGTTTCGGGTATCAGGCTGTTCAAGCAATTATTATGCTTTAAAATATTCCTTATGATCTTGTATTTTTTATCGGAAATGCCGCTACTAATCGCGGCATAAAATCTTGCAAGATGTTTGTTTGTTTCATTTTCTTGCTGTGACATCGTGCTCATAATAAAATATATCTGTACAGTTATGTGCAGTTTTGATCCCAACAGTTATCTTGTCCAGTTGATGCTGAAATATTAAAAATACAATTATAAAAAAAAATCATTAAATTACATTATAAATATTGTACTTCATGTCATTTTTGCAAAAAAAATCAAATATTGATATTATTAAAAGATTCCCAAATAAAGCATTAACATCTGTTACAAATGTACCATAGTTTGTTATAAACGAAATAATCAGAGTAGACCTCATTATATGGACTGTTAACCCATTAACGACCAAAATGCTCAATTTTTTTTGTCGATTTTCAACGCGTTTTTTTCGGTAGTCATAGGCCTAAGAAATTTTTGCAAACACGTATTTGGATGGGAAATTTAATGCTCTTTCAGAATCTTTTTTCAAAATTGCGATTGATTGCGTTATAAAAAAGTTATAGCCAATTAAACAATAAAAACCCGAAAAATTTTGCGAAAAATCAAGTTTGCGATTTTTTTTAGCAATGTTACCGCTAAAAATCATCAAACAAATATGATCAGAGGTGATCACGACTATCAAAGTATCTCCAGGAATTTTGGTGGAATTTTTAAACCACTTCTTCCAACAAAATGGTAGCAAAATAAAAAAAAATCCATAAAAAACATTTCTCATTTTTTATCTCGGAAACCATTAAGTTTAGATGAAAAGTTCATTGAACAAAAAAGTCTTAAAAGTAAACGAGAAATACGCCTGAATTTTTTTAGAATTTTCCGAGGCGATTTTTGAATTTTCGGAGAATACGGAAAATCCATTTTTCCAAAATCATCTCCAAAAATTCTAAAAAAATTCATGCGTATTCCTTGATAAATTCTAAGATTTTTTGTTCCATAAACTTTTTCTCCAAACTCAATAGTTTTCGAGATAAAAAACGTTCTATTCTTAGCACGACCTAGAGATAACGACGAGGACGTAGTAGAATTTTGTCTCCTTTGGGGTGCTTGATTTGAGTGAGTCCCCTTGCCTCTCACTGCAATACGAATTTTTTTTTGAAACATTCAACACAAATCGATAAATCACATTTTTCACAGATAATTCTCGTTCTTACGGGACAATAAGAACGAAGTTTGAGTTTTGTTTGTTTGGACATATTGTGTTTCTCTTTTTTGCATTGTTTCTGCGTTATGTAATTTTTAGCTATTGAAAGTGCAAAATCTTTTGTTCCAACCCTTTTTTTCTCATCATTGACAGCATTGAATAGTACAGTAGCATTTACAATCGAAGCTTGAATTAGTCTTAAAAAAACTACCCACGTCCACTTTTTTAAACGAATACTCGGAAGTAAATTGTTACAATGTCCGTCGTGGACATCATTGCCGCCCATAAAACTGTTATAGACGCTAATAGCCCTCGGAAAAGGTATTTCAACTTTTTTTTCTTCTTGCTTACTGTATCTATTTGAAAAGGATAATGGAGTTACCCCTGCAGCAGTAGAAATAATCGAATCTGGTTTTGAATCCATCACAGTGATGTAATTTATACCACTGTTCTTATCGTGCTGCACGGCATACTCACCTCTTTGAGCTTTTTTATTTAGAACATTTTTATCTTTGCCTCTATCTTCTCTAATAGTACCTGTACATTTTAGCCCAAGCTTCTTCAAATGCACAGCGAGATCTAAGCTTGTGAAATAATTATCAAAATAAAGATTGAACATAGATATTTTGCCCGGAGGTATAACACGAAAAAACTTTTCTAGTAAATTCCTGACAACGCGAGAACCTAATGCACACTTACTAAATTTACTTCTCGTTGTAGAATTTTTTCCGCAGTATAAGTCAAGACCTAATACAAAACCATCGGAAGTACAAAGACCCCAGAATTTGAGACCAAATCGTATGGGTTTTTCTCGAATGAATTGTTTTAGAACCGTCCTCGCATAAGACTTAGCATCGATGGAAAGAGCAGTTCTCCACACACCGAACTTCATAATATTAATTTCAAATAGGTTTAATAGTGAATGGACACGCCAAGCATAGTCAGTTGGATTCTTATCTTTCGTTTGTGAATATTTTAATTTTGATTTGATCTCTTCAAACTTATTACGTGACATAGCAGAAGAAACAACGTTACAAGATAAAAAGGAATCACGTGACCAGTAATCCCTCTGATATTTCCTTTTGTTGAATGAAGTCAAAATGATTATTCCCACGAATGTATTTAAGTCTTTTAAGTTTAAATCAAAATTATTTTCTTTGCAAGCATCTATAATATATTGCTTCATTTCAGTTGAGAAAAATGTTTCAAACAGTTCTACTGTCTCCATTTCTTGTATTTTATTTTTTACCGAGTCTTTCAATAAAATTTTGTCTTTCAAATTATCATTATACTTTTTTTCTCCTTCCATCCACTGGAGTTCATGCGTTCTTTCTAATTTAGTTTGAGTTTCAGTATGTTTTACAAGCTTCTGTGTACGTTATATTAGAAATTTCATCATCCGAATCAGTATCGAAATCTGATCCATCAGAACCAGAATTGTCAGGATTTGGAAGGGTAAATATATCATCGTAAGTGTTCTTTGAAGTATCAATTTCGTACATTTCATGGGAGCGAGTGGAACGTCTTTTACGTTTTTGCGACATGTTATATAAAATAATAAAAATACCTAATGAAAATAATTACTACAGTTTTCAATGCTTCTTGTCAAACCTAGACTTCAGAAAGCGAAAATAATCTTTTCGATTCGATTTACTGTATGGTCTCAAAATAACAAGAGACTAGTAAGTAATAAAAATGAGCTCACATACAATTTTCTGAATTGCTTTTTTGATATGTGTATATTAATATACGCTATACAAACTGCACTTGTATACACATAAAAAGGCAAAACATTATTATATTATTGTTGAATGGCTGTTCTTTATTCTGTATCAAAAATATTAACGCTGCTAGGATTATAACCTAACTCACTTTTTATCTCGAAAACTATTGAGTTTAGAGGAAAAGTTTATAGAACAAAAAATCTTAGAATTCATCAAGGAACATGCCTGAATTTTTTCATAATTTTTGGAGATGATTTTCGAAAAATGGATTTTTCGTATTCTCCGAAAATTCAAAAATCACCTCGGAAAATTCTGAAAAAATTCAGGCGTATTTCTCGTTTAATTCTAAGACTTTTTTGTTCAATGAACTTTTCATCTAAACTTAATGATTTCCGAAATAAAAAATGAGAAATGTTTTTTATGGATTTGTTTTATTTTGCTATTTTGTTGGAAGAAGTGGTTCAAATATTCCACCAAAATTTCTGGAGATACTTTGATAGTCGTGATCACCTCTGATCATATTTGTTTGATGATTTTTTAGCGGTAACATTGCTAAAAAAAAATCGCAAACTTGATTTTTCGCAAAATTTTTCAGGTTTTTATTGTTTAATTGGCTATAACTTTTTTATAACGCAATCAATCGCAATTTTGAAAAAAGATTCTGAAAGAGCGTTAAATTTCCCATCCAAATACGTGTTTGCAAAAATTTCTTAGGCCTATGACTACCGAAAAAAACGCGTTGAAAATCGACAAAAAAATTGAGCATTTTGGTCGTTAATGGGTTAAGGAAGAAACAGAAATTGCTTGTAAAAGGTACTCTATACGACAATAGAACATCTTAATTCTTTAGCGAAGAAATTAATCCACACAACACCAAGAACATCTAAATTTAAAAATTATAAATCACCATTTATACATGTATAATTTAGCTCTATAAAATAAAAGTATTGGTACAAATCAATAGTGAAGTACCTTCATGTAATGTAGTTTTTGTTATCAAAAAATAGTATTGTTATAATATCATTTACATATTGTTGACAGGCAGATTGTAAATAAAATTGGAAATAAAAAAAAACGATTTATTGCAAAATTAAGTAAGAGCGAATGAAAACATGTAACATAAAAAATATAACATAAAATAATGATGAATAAGACGAAGGTCTCGGATTCAAGACTCGGTCATGTTGATATTATCTTTTTTTTTTCATTTTATTATTTATTTTATTTTTTTCATTTTTCGAATGTAGTTAATCTTTTATGGAAGTTGTCGACATTATTTTATGCATAATGTGTGGGTATTATTTATTTATTTAATTTTTTGAAACAAGCCGATTATTGAATACAAAATTTGTAACAATTTAGTGCACATAAAATATATAAAAATTATAAAATTATAAATATATAATAAAATTATAAAATTATAAAAATATATTAAATTTATACGAAACTTATATAAGACCTATATCTAACTTTTACAAGTTTTGTACGAATTTTTTCGGAAAATATATGAAAAAATTTGTTCTCATTTTGTACGAATATTTTACGACGTTGGTACAAATTTTATATATATTCTTGTATGAATTTTATACATATTCTGTATAAAATTTGTATACTTATTTTTAGGGGGGTGGAGTTCACGTCGTAAACTACGACGCGAACTAATGTTTTTTACGTGATCTGCTTCTAGATTAATTTTGATTGAAAGTTCGTTATTACATTGATTTCAATTTAAAAGGTTTATAAAAATACGGAATATTTTCACTGGGTTACTGTCAATGAAACTAGAGCAAGTACGAAAACAAATCAATCTATTTGAATATACATTTGTTTGTCAATCATCCAGAAACTTGTGTAATGAATATTTTTAACAAATATGTTATTAAATATATATGACATTTGTATGACCATTCTATTTGAATCATGTGTGAAAAGGTATAACAATTTGCAATATTCATTTTCTCATTTTCTAAATATTTTGTCATTATTACAACATAATAATTTACTATTTTCACAATTATTTACGAATGCAGGAATAATAATATGAAGATGAAAATGTTAGTAATACTTTATAAGCACCATTTCTTTAAATTCTTTGTAGGCTTTGCACACATTCAACCCAAAATTAACGGATAGCTAATATATTCTAGCAAGATATAATAATATAAATAGAATTTTATAAATTATTATAATTTACTGAA